AATCAGCAAGGACTTCTCTTATTCAAGAGCTATATCTATGTCCCAAGGGATAAACGATTACAGCTACACCTCCTACAGCAGTTCCATGATGCTCCAGCTGCAGGGCACTTTGGCTTTGCAAAAACTTATGAACTTCTAACAAGAAAGTTCTACTGGCCTAGTCTAAGGACTACTCTTCAAGACTATATATCTTCTTGCACAACTTGCAACTTGAACAAACCTACACGGCAAAAGCTCTATGGCCTCTTGCAGCCTCTACCTATACCAGAACGCCCATGGGACTCCATATCCATTGACTTTATAGTCAAGTTGCCTCCTTCTATCCCAAAAGGGGGTGCTACCCTTATGACTCTATCCTTGTGGTGGTAGAAAGGCTCACAAAAATGGCACACTTTGAGCCTTGCAATGAGACTATCACAGCTTCTGAACTTGCGTGGCTATTCCTCAAGGTGGTCTTTAAATATCATGGAATTCCTGGACACTGGATCTCAGATAGGGGAGCAGTTTTCACTTCAAACTTTTTTAAGGAGTTCTCTAAACTCTTAAACATGGAACAACGCTTTTCTACAGCTTATCACCCTCAAACAGATGGCCAGACAGAGAGAGTCAACTCTGTACTTGAACAATATCTAAGAATTTATACAAACTATGCTCAAGACAACTGGGCAGATCTTCTCCATCTTGCAGAATTTGCTTACAACAACACGGTCTCTAACACCACAAAAGAGACACCTTTCTATGCAAACTATGGTTATCACCCTAGGTTTGAAGTGGCAGAACTTAATTGTCCTGAAAATCTCAAAAACCCTTCTGCTACTGAAAGAATCATCTACCTTAAGGGCCTCCAGGACTATCTCAAGGTCCAAATACAGCGTGCACAAGACGAGCAGGCTCAGGCCTTTAACAGGGGGGTGGTTGCACAACAATTCAAAGTTGGTGATCAAGTCTTTTTGTCTAGAAGACATATCACAACTACTAGACCATCAGACAAACTTGATACTAAAAGACTTGGACCCTTTAAGATCACAAGGACTATTGGCAAGAATGCTTTCGAGCTTGCATTACCACCTACTTGGACTATCCATAATGTCTTCCATGCATCTCTCTTGTCTAAGGCACAAGAAAGTTCCTTAAGACCACTTCAGTCTCCTGCACCTCCTGTTCTGATTTTGGATCAACCAGAATATGAAGTAGAGTCTATCCTTGACAAAAAGACACTTAGAGGTCAGGACTACTTCCTCGTTAAGTGGAAAGGCTATCCTACAAGTGACAACACTTGGGAACCTAAGAGAAATCTAAAAAATGCATCCAAGCTGATTCTAGAATTTTTTTCTAAGAAAGCCACCTGGCTAAAGGGCAAGCACACAGCTAACAAACGTCCTTAAGAGGGGTATCATGTCATACTGACATTCGTTGCACTCAGTTTGCTATCAAACTCAAGAGCAAACTTGGAAATCTCCTCCTCAAACCTACAAGTCACTATACATATTTTGGCTTATCACACCAACAACAAGAGCAATACTACTCAACGATTGCTACAACCATCTATGATTCATTACACGTCATCGCTCCTTAGTTACTGGGCCGATATTACCACATAGCATATCTCTACAACCCTCTATGATTCATTACATGACATCACTCATACTACCACATGACATATCTCTACCAACTAGAGGCCTAGGAGCATGAACGATAGCTCTAAAAGCCCCTACGAACCTCTATGATTCATTACATGTCATCGATCTTTAGTTACCCACAAGATTGGTTAAGTTATGACATAATTTGTCTATGACATAATTTGTCTATAGGGGTACTCTGAGCTTGGACCTCCTTTTACTTCCTATAGGCTACGAACCTAAGAGATGGTTCTATGGGATTCTCTTACGTCAACTACAGTTACCAAGCCTGGTAAGTCATGGAAAGTCTTGGAAAATGAGAGAACTACACTCCTTTAGCATAAATAGGATTGCCCTTTCCTTAAGAAAGGGCAAGCAGACAATACAGTAAATCGACTATCACATACTTCCACGTCTTTTCCAAGCTTCCAAGCATTCATCTTGTTACTCCTTGTTTCTGAAAAGTCAGTGAGGTGTTAACCTCTGACTTACCCCTGAGTTCCCAGACTCAACATTTGTTGCAACTTGTCTGAACCACTTCACTACATCACACACCTGATTGCTGCGTTGTGGAATAGTCTAAGCTACGACCCTTTGGCTCTGTTTTCTAAGACAGTGTGTTGTCTTAGTAAATTCATCCCTTCCTTGGGTGGCTAGATTCTCACATCTGGTGCACCCACCATTACAAGTGGCGCCATACTATTGGAAGCCACTGATCCAAACCCAGCTGAAGTCCGGAAAGCTCAGCTCGTCAGGGTTTTGGGGGTTTCCCCCGGGGCTACAAATAGCGTACGTAGGCCCGTAGATTAGGTAGTAATTAATTTTGATCTATATACTGTATTTACCGTGTTCTACTGTGAAGCTTCTGCTCCGTTACCCGCAAGGAATCAATTACGGTGGTTGGGGATTACCATACAAATCCGTGTGTAATTCCCACTTTCCGCAATCACCTCTAACACTAACCAGGTCGGAACTGAGTCGGATGGGTTTCGGGTACTTGAGAAAATCGACTCATGGGGTTCCCCCATCATCTTTTTTGTATCCTTCGTAGTAGACCTATAGGATAGCATCCGTTTAGCCTCCGACTCGCACTCTCATATGCTATTACTGTGAGCTGGGTGCCCTGTGTCCTTACACCTATCAGCCATGTCTTGGCTATCGCAATAAAGGATGATGCAATTGAAGTTGAAGGGTCGTCGCACGCAGAACCTTTCTTTACAAGTCATCTGCAGCACCCTACGAAAGCCGCATTGATTCACTGGAAGCCAGAGATGCTTAAAAGACCCATATTTCGTCAGGCCGTACGCACGTGTGATATGTTCCGTACGTCGGAGTGGAAGGCTCTATACCTTGATTGTCTCGGCTGGGCGACTTGTTTTGAGCGTTAACGAGCTACTGTTTTCGTAGAGGCACAGGAAACGCTGTTGACGGTAAACTTCTTATTGATCATAGTTTGCTTTAACTAACGAGTGCGTAGGGGCTGTGACGACAGCAGTTCGCGACCAGATACTAAGACACAATCCCCAGATTGGTGTCTTTTGCGGATCATACAACAATGAGAAAGTCAGGTTTATCGTTCAAGATGCAGTGCTAGAGCAGCCTAGTGACTCTGGCTTTCTCCGGGCCTTCACGCACATGAGCCTCACTTGTGATCCTCGCGCACCTCAGACAGTGCCGGACGAGGTTCGCGATGACCTCCCGCCCGATCCAGAGCTGATGCAGTTTAAGCTTGAGCAGTAAGAGCTTCGCTTGAGCTTAAGCGTTTGTATGAACACGCATTTGTTTAGGGTTCGATTGGAACAGAAGCTGGTGAAGAATATCGTCAATTAAATAGACAGATTGTACGGTAACTAAGACGCTTGGGCAAGAGCTAAAGAGGGAGTACCTCCGGGACTACTTCTACCGTATCCACAACGAAGAACTGAGAAGATCATGAAGAAGGTCACAGTCATGGCACCGACATATGTTGAGCCTGTCGTCAAGCACCAGCTGCCGGAACGGACCCAGCTTCAAGATTCATGTGCGACCTCTCTAAGGGCCTCGCCATGCGACGGATTCATGCCATCGACACAATGGTCGCACTATCTCGTCGCCAAGAACTCCAGTGTCATAAGTCGATCTTGAACATATCGTCCTCGGGAACCTCTCTTGAAGGATCCGCCGTGCCGAAGGAAGAATCGCCTGTTCCTATTATTTTTCCTCTCAAATGCAAGAAAACTCAGTGCATATTCTGCATTGGCGATGATCGCCAGAGTTACGATAGGCGGACGCGCAAATTCTCGAAACCCGACAAGATGATGGACCATTTAGAATAGAGGTTCAGTTTGCAAGGCCGAAGGGCTACTTCTCAACAACATTATCCTTTTCAAGAATCACGTGGAGATGGTGCACAAAATTTGTTGAGTAATCAAATGTATGTATTCCTCTCCTGCCTATGTAACCTATACTGTGATTTACCGATAATCCGTATGGAGATCATGTGAGATCATGTGACTATTACAACAAAATTAGACTTAGAGAGGAAAAAGATATATCTTGAACAACTGGTCCTTGTGACATTGTCCGTTCCGAGACCCTCCGTAACCTTTGCCTTCTGTCTTCATTCTGCAAGTATGTGTAGGTGTAAATACTAGGATATCCTTTTAGAGGAAACACCTGTTGCAGCTCCTCCGTGTTGAATGAACATTATATTTCACGTGATACGCGAACGGAACCGACATCAACGTGCCGGCGAAACAAGGTCTAGACACGGCAAATCTGCCACGCCACCAAGGAGAAAGTAAATCTACTGTATAAAAAATACAAAAACATACGACAGTGGGTATTCGCTGGTGGTCACCCACCCAACTACTAATCCACCGATCTCAAGGTTATGTATGGCAGAGCGGACGGGATGCCCAGTTCTCTTGAGTCTGTGGTCGTATGTGATAATTATTTGCGTATCCGTCTTTAGGACCCATGAACCGCCTCTGCTTTTAATCTCTCGACTTACGCATTAACGTCAACCGCCTCGCCCATCTCGCCCGCCTTGAATGAGGTCCATAGCCTTTCTGTATGCTTAGGCGCTCCGTGAGTGACTCATCCTAGGTCTTTGTGGTATATAGCTGTTCAATTCCGCCATACCAAACACGTGATCAAATCCGTATGCCTCACCAGATGGTCCACCGGATGGTCTCGAATGATCCCCCACCAGATGTCCACTGAGTGTTTGAAGAACCCATCTTCTCCCGACTTATAAAATATATCAACGTTCCAGCGCACCTTACTCTCACTCTTGCGCTGTGGTTGGAACATGAGAATAGTTTGTATTTCCAGACTTGTCTACAAAGCCCCCGCATCGTGCAACTCAAGCCTCTCAGTAGCTCAAGCTGCATGCTTGGCTTACCACGTGCGATTGAAAACACCCTCGATACTTTCTTGTAGCCACTCTCCGTTTGGTAATTGACGTATCTTGATCAGCTTTACAGCCCATATTAGCTACAACTAGATATATCAGCTTACATGGCGTTTGCTTTACCTGAAGCCCTTTCTCAATGACTTCCGCACGTGGATATCTTGCATTCATCAGCGCGAGTGTAGCCCACGCTGTATTAACAACCTGACTCTTCTCGTGCTGGACATACTCCGCAACCTCGCACGAGGAATAATGCTCTCCCCAACCTCCGTCCTTCATCTGCTTGCTCACAAGCCAGTCGCAAGCCCTAGGCACGCGCTCGCTTGCCTGGTATGTCTGACCCACACTAGCTAGACTCTCAAAAAAGGTCCCGTATGTGAAGCAGATCGCCCAAGAGCCATACCAACTTCCATCAGGGCGCTGAACATTTGTGATGTAGTCCATAGCTACAGTGATACCCTTCTGGATGCTGTCGCGGCGGTAGGTAGGAAAATGCTTGCGGAAGTGAGAGAGGGAAGTAAGAACGGCGGTAGTGCATTTTGGGTAGGAGTACTCAACCATGATACGATCGAAGACTTCAGCAGGGTTGAGAAGCTCCATCAACTCGCTTCCTCGGGCTTTTTCATAGCTACCGAAGCCGCCATCCTTGTTTTGCATTTTTAGCAGCGTGTCTACGCAGTCTTGTAGGCGGGAGTCGGATATGAGTTTTGGGAAGCCGCTTTGAGATGTTAGAATTGTAGCCTCTACGTTTAAAACTGAATTGTACTCACTAGACTTCCTGAAGCAAGATGGTAGCCTTCATGCCCTCCGCTGAACAATCAGAAACAATATATCCGTTGGCTTTTGTGCTGAATGGCCAACCGCCCTTTCTCTTCTGGCGATAGGGGTCCTTCAAATCCTCTTGGAACTGCGAGAGCTCGATAAACTCTAGTGCCTTTTGCATAGTATCCTTGAATTCTGGAGTCCTCGCCAGACCAGCTTCCGCAACAGCAATAACGTTACAAGCTGTATCCCATAGCTGCACCCCATTTGTTCCTCCGCTAGTCATGCCATCCCTACTTTGCCAGAGGTACGTTGTCAATTTCGCCCAGTGTCGACGTACAGCAGTCCGATCCCCGCCGTCGGCAAAGTGCGCAACGACCGTATGGAAGGCTTTGTTGACTGGAGCAAGGTCGTTGTAAGATGTGTTTTCGTCTTCGCGCCGTATTAGGTCCCTTACAGCCACATTAGCTTGATTGTGCAGCCAAGATGGCCTCAGATATATTTCCCATGCCCGCATAACAGTACTCATGACCCTCACAAGTGGAGTGTATGGCCGCTTTAGGTCAGTTGCAGCCACGGTGCTGCTGTTCGCTACAAAGTCGATAGAAGAGTAGGGCAGGACGTAAATTTCCTCGCGCAGTTCCTTTAATAGTGGATTCAAAGGCATTTTACACTTGTTGGCGTACAGATATGAGGTCGGGAGGTAGACGACACGGCATTGAATCCACCACCGCCAGGGGTGAAAGGGAACCCAATCTGGTAGAAGCCTGCGGGTATGGTCAGTAAAAATAGCAGACATGTCAAACAGCCGACATACCAGAACTCAGGAGGGACAGGGTTCACGCCCTCCCACTCATATAGGTTCAACGTAGACAGCCAATACTTGCCCCATTGTGGAGCACCAATAGCACCGCCTATACCAGGAAGTAAAGCACCCAGCAGCAACGACGGCAGCAGCACGGTCAACAGACCTATTGCTATCAGTTTAACAGCATCAAGGTCGTCAACCGCCCATTTCTCCTCAGAGTTAGGTTTTAGCTCGCCCCCACGTCTCCATAGCATAATGTTGGGACTACTCTTGTCATGTCCAATGTCCTTCCTGATTCTGCAAATTCTTGCTTGGGGAAATTCTTTATTAAGAACAATAACTGGTGTTCCAAACCCTTTCTTGTGGCCAACAACATGCTCATGTTTTGACAAGAGAACTTCTACTGATATAGAAATATCCTCCTTTAGTTTGGTAATAGTCTCCCCATGTCGAAGTCTATTAACTATGTCGTCATTGTCGTCATCAGAAGGCGGCTCTTCCTTTTCTTCTTCCTCTTCTTCCTTGGGCTTTTTTTTAGCCTCTTCTTCCTCTTCTTCCTTGGGCTTTTTTTCATCCTCTTCTTTGGCCTTTTTTGCTGCCTTCTCTTCTGTGGCCTTTGTAGCTTCAACTGTTTCCTTAGCTGCCTTTGCTTTAGCTTCAGCTGCCTTTGCCTTTGTAGCTTCTTCTGCTTCCTTAGCTGCCTTTGCTTTAGCTTCAGCTGCTTCCTTTTCCCTAGCTTCCTTTTCAGCTTTTTCAGCTGCTTTTTCTTCCCTAGCAGCCTTTGCTTTTACTTTTTTTGCTTTAGCAGCCTCCTCTATAGCTGCATTTTTTTTTGGCAATTTCTGCCCTGACCCCGGCTTCTACACCTAAGCGAAATTGTTCTAGCGTGGTACCTTTTAGTTCGAGTGGTTCGTTCTCTTTCTTGCTATTATACACGATTGTAGAGGTTTCCAATATTTTCGTTTCTAGACTTTCAAGCTCTGCCTTGGAAGTTCTAGAACTTTTACCCTCTAGCTCTATCTTCTTAGCATAATCGGAGACAAGTGAATCCATTTTTAATTTGCATATGATCCAAGCATAGACCAGATATATCGGATAGATCTTACCAAGCTTCAACAACCTCTCTCGCGCGCCCGTCGCCAAAGGGTGATCCTTCTCTACATCTAGTATCCTTAAAACCACATAGTAAAGGGCTGTGGCAAACACGGTCGTCGTACCCTCCAAATGCATGCCCCAGCCTCCATCCGCATTAACATGGTTTGCCAGATACTGCTTCATCTCGATTTTCCACTCGGTTGGGATTACATTGCGAAGACCAGCCCGGGCAGCAGGAAGCTAGGCCCTCCATAGTCGCAGCCCCAGTGGCCATCCTCGAGCTGCAGGCGCTGAAAGAACGAGTAGCCATTGAGTGCCGTGTCGGTGAAGGACTGCGGTGTTGGGAGGGTGGGCGCGCCCTACCGAGCTGGTGGTTAGCATAGACATTGCCGGAGGATGGTCAAGGTGGGTGCATACAGTCGGATATCCAAGGAAATAGCGCTCTGCGACGGATTGCTGCTGCTTTTTTGCCTGCTCCTCGCTGAGATAAAACCAGTGATGCACGCCCTCAGTGCTCTTGAGCCTCCATCGTTGCAGATCAGTTCTCGGAAGACTGGCGTCCATTGTGTTTCCCCCCATTTGAATCAAGTATGGTCTCTGGCGCTGCTGGCAGCCAGGTTGCCAGGTCGGCGTGTGTGAGTGAGGCAATTTGTTGAACACATAATTGTAGTTTGACGACTTGATTGAGAAACTACGGGGGGAGACGTGAAAAGCAATGGACGGCTTGGTAGGCGCTCCGACAGCGACTTGCGTTATTCTTACAGGGGCAGTGATTGGACTTCGTAACCGAAGATCTATTCATCCTTCTTGGCTCGAGAGCGCAACATTCTGAGAGTATATATCTCTATCTCGAACACCGTAATCGTTGGTTTCCAAACCACTGCCTAGAGGCGGTTGGCGAAAGAGATCGGCACTGCGAAAGCGATCGGCACTCTCTCGGGAGAGGACGCGCGCGAGTTGAACGCGACAACGAAACAACGAACACGACACAACAACGACGTACATAGGTATATATAATTAATCAATTAAATAAGTTAGGATCTATATTCTTGGTCAGTGATTCATTATCACTGCTACCGTCACTTGCACTGTGAATCATGTCGTAGTTTAGGTCTGTAAAGTCAACAAACCCGCTTTCTTTAACGGCTAATTGCCGTTGTAACTCCTCCTCCTCCTCCTGCCTACGCTTGATGTCTAGGTTAATGATTACTTGAAGTAATCCTCTTAGTGGCTTGGTATCCAGGTTACTTTTTTGGAATTTAAGTAAGTCCCGCTTCTGTACTCGTTCTGCTTTCCGTGCATCGATACTAGCACGGAGCTGCATCTTGCGCTTAATGTTCACCATGCGCATTCTCTCTCTTCTCTCTCTTGCTTCTTCTATAAGTTGCTCTTTTACCTTCTTCTCGTAAATCTTCTTCCGTGCATGTTTCAACTATAATAGCTCCGCCTTTTTGAATGGACTTCCGACTTCTAACTTTCCGCTGTCGTGCTCTATCATCACTAGGGTGCGTCATAGGGAACCTGGACCACCGGTTCCCCTAGACCGGGCCATGGTCTAGCCTGGTCCCAAATTCTCAGACCACGGTCTAGTCTAGTCTGAACTTTGAGCGATCCAAGTCGAGCTGACCATCTTATTGAGGCCCGGCAGTTCTACTTGAAACAACCAGATACTTATACAATTACTTGGGTTGCCCTCAAGTTTAATGTCAACCGTGAGACACTTCGACGACACATTACTACCCCTCCCCTTCCCCGCGGGGGTCAAAACCGAGTTTTATCTCAAGAACAAGATACTGCAGTTTGTCAATTTATATATGACCAACTTAAGCGTGGGGTCCCTACAAACCGATCAATGGTTTTACGGGCTGTTGCGGACTTGCGACCCGATTGTACGATCCCATCGCAACGGTGGTTAGTTACAACGCTTCCTTAAGGCACACCCTGAATTCCACTCGATTTATATGAAGACTTTAAATACGGATAGAAAGCAGGCACAAAAGAAAGAGGTGTTTGAGGAATTTTTCCTTACATATAACGCACTTATTACAAAACACAACATTAAGCCATATAACTTATGGAATGTTGACGAAACCGGCTACATGATTGGATGTTATAAATCTACAGCTGTTATTGTGCCGATTGGCATAAAGCAATGGACTTTTGATAATCCTGAGAATCGGCTCTCTGTTACTGTGATTGAGGGAGTAAATGCAAGTGGTACAGCAATTGCAGATGAGCCAAATGCTCTTGTTATCGTTAATGAGAGTGGGTATTCAAACGACGACATTGCAATTCAAAACCTCATGCATTTTATTCAACTATCTGCAGAGCATATGGCACCAGATGACACCCGCCTCCTATTACTCGACGGCCATGACTCTCATAAAACGGAGCGCTTTCTCACATTAGCAGAAGAGCATAACATTGTTATTTGCTGCCTTCCTGCTCATACTACGCATCTACTACAACCTCTTGATGTAGCAGTTTTTAAGCAGTGCAAACACTTCCATCAAAAGGCACTTGATCAAGCAGTACGCAGCTATGACTATGAGTATAAGCTACGTACGTTCCTTTCCGACATTCCACAAATCCGACGGCAATCCTTAACTGTCTGGATAATTCAATCAGGTTGGAGAAATGCAGGACTATATCCATATAATCCTCCACTAGTAATTGATAAAATACAAGAGACCCGGAATCAAACACCAGACTACAAGCCATTTGCTTCGTACGACCTTATCTCAACTCCAAAAACTAGTGTGCAAACTATACAGGCAGTTAAACATTGGCAGAAGAGAGTAGAGGCAGCTTTCTCATCACCATCAAGAGAAGGGTTTCAATCATTTGCACGTGGAACTACAGTTGTTTTACATCAAGCTGAGCTCTATAAGACCGAGCTTGACATTGTTACCTTACGGTCAGCAGAGCAGAAAACAGCAAAGGCAAGGGCACGGAAATCACTACAGAAGGGGGGGCAGTTATATGCATCAGACGCCCGACTGTTACGTAAGGAGAAGAAAGCAAAATTACAAGCAAAGGCAGAGGCAAGAGTAGCAAAGGAATCAAAGCAAGTAGTAAAGCAGCTACAGGTGCAACAACGGAAAATTGAAATCGAAGAGCCAAGGGTTGAGAGGAAGAGGGTAGCAGAGCGGAAGAAGGTTGGGTTAAAATCCAAAGTGATAATTTTACGGTATGGTAAGGATCATGGTGATAGTAACATTGAGATTAGTAGCGACAGAGTAGTGTCATACTGACATTCGTTGCACTCAGTTTGCTATCAAACTCAAGAGCAAACTTAGAAATCTCCTCCTCAAACCTACAAGTCACCATACATATCTTGGCTTATCACACCAACAACAGAAGCAATACTACTCAACGATTGCTGCAAACTCTTCTACTACATCTGTTTATGCTACATACATCACGGCATATCATTTGGACACTCATTGAACAAGTTATTAAGAAAATCTCCTCCTTAAGGGGGTGGGCCAATACTACCACATGGCATATCTCTACCAACTAGAGGCCTAGGAACATGAACGATAGCTCTAGAAGCTTCTACAACCCTCTATGATTCATTACACGTCATCGCTCCTTAGTTACCCACAAGATTGGTTAAGTTATGACATAATTTATCTATAGGTACTCTGACCTTGGACCTCCTTTTCACTTCCTATAGGCTAGGAACCCAAGAGATGGTTCTATGGGATTCTCTTACGTTCACTACATGATTAGCAAGCTAGTTGTGGGTCGCACTTGACTTCTAATACATTTACCAAGCCTGGTTAGTCATGGAAAGTCTTGGAAAATGAGAGAACTACACTCCTTTAGCATAAATAGGATTGCCCTTTCCTTAAGAAAGGGCAAGCAGACAATACAGTAAATCGACTATCACATACTTCCACGTCTTTTCCAAGCTTCCAAGCATTGATCTTGTTACTCCTTGTTTCTGAAAAGTCAGTGAGGTGCTAACCTCTGACTTATCCCTGAGTTCTCAGACTCAACATTTGTACAACTTGTCTAAACCACTCCACTACATCATACACTTGATTGCTGCGTTGTGGAATAGTCTAATGTAATGGTGGGTGCACCAGATGTGAGAATATAGCCACCCAAGGAAGGGATGAATTTACTAAGACAACACACTGTCTTAGGAAAAAGAGCCAAAGGGTCGTAGCTTAGACTATTCCACAACGCAGCAATCAGGTGTGTGATGTAGTGAAGTGGTTCAGACAAGTTGCAACAAATGTTGAGTCTGGGAACTCAGGGGTAAGTCAGAGGTTAACACCTCACTGACTTTTCAGAAACAAGGAGTAACAAGATCAATGCTTGGAAGCTTGGAAAAGACGTGGAAGTATGTGATAGTCGATTTACTGTATTGTCTGCTTGCCCTTTCTTAAGGAAAGGGCAATCCTATTTATGCTAAAGGAGTGTAGTTCTCTCATTTTCCAAGACTTTCCATGACTTACCAGGCTTGGTAACTGTAGTCGACGTAAAAAAATCCCATAGAACCATCTCTTAGGTTCGTAGCCTATAGGAAGTAAAAGGAGGTCCAAGGTCAGAGTACCCCTATAGACAAATTATGTCATAACTTAACCAATCTTGTGGTTAACTTAGGAGCAATGACGTGTAATGAACCATAGAGGGTTGTAGAAGCCTTTGGAGCTATCGTTCATGTTCCTAGGCCTCTAGTTGATAGAGATATGTCATGTGTAGTATTAGCCCAGTAACTAAGGAGTGATGTCATGTAATGAATCATAGAGGGTTGTAGAGATATGCTATGTGGTAATATCGGCCCAGTAACTAAGGAGCAATGACGTGTAATGAATCATAGATGGTTGTAGCAATCGTTGAGTAGTATTGCTCTTGTTGTTGGTGTGATAAGCCAAAATATGTATAGTGACTTGTAGGTTTGAGGAGGAGATTTCCAAGTTTGCTCTTGAGTTTGATAGCAAACTGAGTGCAACGAATGTCAGTATGACATCTAAGCTACAACCCTTTGGCTCTGTTTCCTAAGACAGTGTGTTGTCTTAGTAAAATCATCCCTTCCTTTGGTGGCTAGATTCTCACATCTGGTGCACCCACCATTACACTATTGCGCAGTGTGTCGACTATAGGAGCCACTTAAGAGGAGCGCACTTCCCTCACAGCTATATTCCTTGTTGAGGGACCGTTGTGAAAGGTCTGGTCTATGAAGTCTGTAGTGTTCTGTGGTGTTCTAGTGTGTTCTGTGGTGTTCTGGAATCGACTTTAGGATATGGTTATAGGGTTTCTAAAGAAGGGAATTCGAATTTCAGTATCAAGGTTCAGGCTTAGAGAGCAAAAGAAAGGTGAGATTCAATCTTATGTTACGATGGTCACGGAGGTCATGGTGCTAGTCTAGGTAAAGTAAGCTAGATTGAATCTAAAGAAAGAAGAAGAAGAAGAAGGAAGGTGAGGCTATTCCTTATAATATACAGTTGTCCGCTTAGCAGCTGTAGCCTTGGTAGCTAAGGCTACACCCTGTAATCCCCTTATAACTATAACAACCGTAATAACCATAACAAGCTGTGAGCTGTAATGGTAACAGTTTAAAGAGTTGGGATTTTATATAGGAAGAAGAAGAGGAAGACTTTAAGGAAGAATTTATAGCTAAATTAGTAGTTTAAATAGCTCTTAGCTTATTTAGTATATTATACTTTCTTATATTCTACCTATATATTATAGCCTTACCTCTAAGCTAGCTTATAACTTAAATAATAAGTAACTTTAGATATTTAAGAATATCACATGATAATCATGTGATGTTCTTGAATATTCATAAATTTAAATATTCAAGAATATGTTGAATAATTTTGATATCCCTGTGCATTTTGGTTTGTGCAGTTTCGTATATCACATGTTTGATAACTAACGATATTTAGCCGGCCTAGAATTAATACATCAAATTTTAACCAAAGAACTTATCAATTTAGTTCCATTTGTCAACACCTGTTTTACGGATTGAACGTCTAGGTTATTGAGCGTCTTTACTTAAATTGGAGTTGCTGTAATCGCTGTCGCCAGATTGCAAATATTAATTGTACTGTATAATAAAAGGCATGGTATCACTGCATGGCATCACTGCATGGCATCACCGCATCACCGCATCGCACTTCTACTCTGATAATTACTATAATTCCAATTTCCTGTAGACTGATCAAAGATTAAATAGAAGCTCAAGATCAAATAGAATCTCAAGGCCAAAATAATTGCTGAACGGAACAAACCTTTCCCATTAAGACTGATGTGTACAGCCGCCTTAGCGCGGCGCCAAGCCACGCAATCGCTGGGGCGCCGACGACCATGGACGACGTCGTGCGCTCGGACCACTTTGGCCTCGGGCAACATAAAACGCTCTCGTCTGGCGTTTAGATTTAGATTTCTTCTTATTTCCTCATCACACACGCTTCGTGGAGAGAGGCGTAACGCGCATTTGATCCCATGGGCGATTGCGAGGTTTTCCATCACGACGACGATATCGGAGGACCTTTTTCTATTGTATGAGGGGAGTTTGGTGGGTATGAAGTGTTGATAGAAGGTCGACGATTGAAGAAGAGGTCGATATATCTGATCACCAGCAAGAAGTTGATCGAAGAACAAGATCGCCAAGATGTCGACCGATAAGACAGCCAAGTATAGGACGGAGATCCAGCAGGTTAGTAGACGTTTCGAGCTTTGTTTCTTTGCAGTCATTTGTTGCTGGCCACATTTGGGAGTTGGGTTGCTATTGTGTCGAGGGGGATGCTTGACACAAGTGAATTTCACCGCTTCGTTGCTCGTTTTTAGCGAACCAGATCTCTCTGGCGGGTCTCCTTGTTGCTTATTGCTTTTCCCCGTTACTGTTTTCATTCTTTACCTTACAACCTCCCCACGCTTCGCTTCGCGTGGACAGTATCCACGATGGCTCTCAAGGATGCAGCAACTGCGTTGTCCGAGGAGTCTGGCTCCGACTTTGAAGATCCCAAGACAGCCCAGAAGGCATTACAGCACTACAAGAAGTGGATTGCTAACCAAGTCTTTAAAAAGATGATGTACGTCTCTGGTGAGACCGGCGAGCCATCACCAGAAACAACTGGCATGGTCGAGGAGATCGTGCGCCAGCAAGTCATCGAAATGGTATATAGTATCCATCGATCGATCTATCGATCTATACCTCCCTTGACCTGATCTAACACCTTCCAGCTGCGCACCTGCACCGAGAACGCCGCCCGCCGCGGCTCCAAGTCCATTACCACCGACGACCTGATCTTCCTTATCCGCCACGACGCCGCCAAAGTCTCCCGCCTCCGTACCTTCCTCTCCTGGAAAGACGTGCGCAAGAACGTCAAGGACTCCGACGACAAAGGCAACGAAGCCGACATCGGCACCGGCGACGAGCCTGTGGCAGCCGTCGCCGCCACCGGTCCCGTCGACGTCTCCAAGAAGAACAAGAAAGCCAAGGTCGGCCTCCCCTGGGAAATCGCCTCCCTCTACTCCCAGGAAGTCCCCGAGCGCGACGACGAAGACGACGAGGACGAGGAGGAAATGAACTACGCCACCCTCCAGCGCCTCAAGAAGGCTGATGAGCGCACCAAGGCCATGACCAAGGAGGAGTACGTCACGTGGTCTGAGTACCGTCAGGCGTCCTTCACGTTCCGCAAGGGAAAGCGTTTCCGCGAGTGGGCTGGTTTCGGGACTATCACTGAGTCAAAGCCGAACGACGATATTGTTGATATCCTCGGATTCTTGACCTTTGAGATCGTGCAGACCCTCACCGAGGAGGCCCTCCGCATCAAGGAGCAGGAGGACCTCTACAAGGAGAAGAGCGGCGTCGAGGACCAGGGCAAGAAGCGCAAGGCTGTCAAGGGACTCTTTGATCCCCCTGCGGTTGGCAAGTCCCCCGTTGAGCCAAGACACGTGCAGGAGGCTTTCCGCAGACTTCAGGTGCGCCCAAAGAAGTCCCGCGCGATGCTGAATGGCACGAGGGGTCTGAACAGGACTCCGCTTAAGCTCGTAAGTGACCCTTTGTTCGTTGATTTGATGTGGGTTGTACTAACTATTGAATAGTTTTGAACTGACACAGTTCCTCTGCTGGGTATCCGGCTTTTATTGACTTTGACTTCGGCGTGAAGGAAGGACACGGGGCGTAATGGTATGGAGGCTTCATGGAGTTTATTGCATGTTACTACTGTTCATAAGATGGATTATGACAGGATTGTTTTATGGGGGTTGACTTGCGTATTACTGTGCCTGAGACATTACTGTGCATGAGACGGTTATGGAGCCAATGAACCCATAATATATAAACTGGTGTGCCTCGCTGTGTGACTGTCTTATTCCGTCACTGCTATCTGCTCTATTCATAATCATCAATCATCAATCATCCCAGCCCAGCGCTCAACTCCAACGCCATCAAATGCACAGCCCCCCACCCCGCACTGCACCCCCCTACTCCTCCCCCGTCTCCCTAATCCTCCTCTCTTCCTCCCCCTCCAAAAAATCCCACCCCCCAAACGCCCCCTCCGTCTCCCTCTGCTCCCTCGCCCCCCAAACAACCAAATAATGCCTCCCAAGCAACTGCCACTCCTCCTCCTCATCAAACATCTGCATCTGCCCCAACCTTACCTTCTCCGCGTCCTCGATCCAGTTATCCCACAACCAGCTGATACTCGCGCCCTCTTGGAACATATCTAGACCTGCTGCCCGTAGGCGCTCGAGTTGCGCGTCAAGAGAGTCGTAGGTGGAGATGGAGGGCATGGCGAGGTTGCGCGCGGCGAGGTTGGAGGTCATGACGCGGCCGAATGCGGAGGTGGGGGAGGTGGGCTCGTAGATCACGGTGCCAATGGTGGGGATGCGGGAGGTGAAGAAGTTGAGCACCGCGTCCGCTTGCTCGGCTGCGAGGTAGCAGAGACAGCACTCCGAAACAAGCAGCGTAGGCAAGTCGGTGCGGATATTATCAATCTCCGCCGGCAGATTTCGCAGGTCTATCGGGTGGAAGAGGTACCCCGCGTTCTTATCAACGTCAGTGAAGTACCCCCACATCTTCTTCTCTGGGTCATGGTCCGGCACCGCGCGCAGGCTGTTGAACTCGCTCCCCGGAGGCCCGATCTTGTCGGAGCGATTGATAAAAGCGAGTTTGTTGGCGGAGATTATGGGGAAGTCGAGCTCGTGGTAGAGGATCTGGTCTTTGTGGCCACGGTCGAGGTAGCGGAAGTAGCGCGTGTCGGTGCCGGCGCCGAGGGAGATGACCTGGACGTTTTGCTCGGGGTGCGCGTTGATAAAGTTCTCAATTAGGCGGTCGATTACTATGGTGCGTACGTAGGTCCCTGGGGGGTGAGGCTGTTAGTAGGGTGTTATCATGAAGAGGCGGGGACGAAGGGGGAAGCACCTCTGTTTATGACGGGCATGCGCAGGGCAGGAGAATCAGTGCCTAAGTCGGCGACAAACTCGCTGACGTAGGGGTCTTCGAGGTAACCACATGCCACTGCACTACGTCGGGAACCGTTGGCATCAGTATCGGTCTCGCGGATCATTTTGTCCCTGTCTGGCCCCCCGCCTCTCGTGCTGGAGGACCCCCCTCTACCACGTCCAGCGCCACGCGAGCGGTTCCCGCGCATGGAGAGCAGATTGGGGATTTCAGGAGCAGCCATGGTGGCTGTCGGGGTATCTTGTGAGAACGAATAATTCTTGTGAGAACGAATAATTAAAAGAAATAGAGGGTTATGGGGAAGTTAAGTTGGTCAATTCTGGAAGGAAGCAATTGGGGTCTGGGAGCGTGATGGATGCTTGTTACAGGTACTGTCGTGGGGTCGTTATCGATAACGGAGGGGTGGGATAACTAAATTCCAGGTCACGGGGAATTGATAGCTTTTTTAGCTTCGTATCACGTGATAAAGCATGTGGTTGCACTGAAACTTTCCAATGCAACCGCAACAAGCGATCTCATTTCCCTTTACGGGCCACTTTCGGTCATGAGCGTTTCACGACTCCACGATTCCACAGGCTCAGAATCCACGGCTCCAGCTCCGCAGCTTTGCTAGTCAATGCTCGATATCCATAATGTGGATGACCTGTACGGTCTGGGACTATACGGAGGTGTTGTTCATAAGTTTTGTGAGTGGGTCGGGCTAGGGCCCCCTGCGTAGGCTGGTTTGGCAATTCTGGCCAAAGTACCGATTCTCACGCGTCACGAACACTTGAGTGTGAGAGCAATCAATTCTGTAGAATAATGAGTAGAGTAGATACCTAAACCCCTATATAAAACTATACTATAAGCCTAGTACTCTGTGTGCATACCATTTGCAGCAATTACTGCTGCCATACGTGTAGGCATACTATTAAGGAGAGCATTAAGCTCAGCTTCTCCAACTTGCTCCCATGCTTCCTTAACAGCTACACGGAGCTGGTCGTAGGACATATGTTCTGGATGATTATCTTGTAGATAATTCTTCATAATATGCCACACCCGTTCAATTGGGTTGAGATCTGGTGAATACGGGGGCCATTCTATAGGGCAAATACCACGGGATCTCAACTCTTCATATGTTGCACCTGCTCTATGACCTGGAGCTCCATCTTGCATCAATGTAAGGCCTGGGTATAGGCGTAGCCAGCCGTGGATTAGAGGGACAGTATGAGCCATATAGGACTCAGCTCCTATTTTCCCATATTCCTTCTCCCAAAATAGTATAGGACCCTTTCCAAGACCACCTGAGAAGCAGCTACAGAACATCCAACCTCTAGGGATTGTTAGTAAATCCTATAGTAAATAGGAGTCTCTTACCTTCTCCATTGTACTCTATCTACAACACATGTATCATCCCACATTTCCCCTGCTTTTCGAGTAACCCATGTACGAGTATGGCAGCCTCCCGTTACCCACGTCTCGTCAGTCCAAAGTATCCTATTCCAATCATTCCGTACCCAATCCTTATGTTCAATAGCCCATGAAAGTCGCTTTTGTCGATTTGTCTCTGAGATAATAGGCTTCCGCATAGCAATCCCTTAATAATTATTAGTCTATATAGTAGTAAAGTAGAGAGGGATACTTACGTCGATTATAGCCTCTCACAGACAGAGCGCGGGTTAGGACAAGCCGTGAGCATGGAATATTAAGAATGCGTATTATATTTGTATATGGCATACGCCTATTCGTGCGAGATGAGGCTATAAACTCAATAACCTCTTGAACTTGCTCATCGGATAGGATAAGTGGCCTACCCGAACGCTTCTTCAGAGTTGGAGGGCCCTGGCAAGCATACCAAGCCTGCCGTTCCGTGCAGCCAATATAGGCTGCAATTTTTTGGAACTCCCAATCTAGGGAGCGTAGTAGTGCGCAACGAAGCCGCTCATCGCGAGTAAGATGAGGCATTGTAGTTATTGAAAGAGTATGAATTTCCTACATATAAAATACAATAGTAGGAATTTTGACGCGTTAAAAAGGTACAAACAAGCCTACGCGTACCCATGCTCCAACCCATGCCCAACCCCCGGTCATCTCATGACCCACTCACAAAACTTATGAACAACACCTCCGTACGCCTGCGCGCCGTGCGCGCCGTCCTCAGCTCTCCTCCGAAGTTCAAGCGCCGATCACGACATATAAGGAAACCTTGGTATACCGAAAATATAAGGGCAATCTCTTCTTGCGGACCCTATTGTTTAAGAGTAACTACTTACAGGAATCAGGGCTTCAGGGTTATCCCACACCATACACGCATTTGGACGAAACATACATATGTACTCCGTACTTAGTCCTCACACACGCTTCGTACGCTTCATACGCTTCATACGGAGTACTCTGCCAAGTATTTCATTAATCTCATTTTTGGTGGAACGCGTGGCCCAATCACAGAAATCCCTTACAGAGTCCCCATGTGCGGGACCTTGCATCTTTCGGTTTCGCTGGTTATGGCCCGCCCCAAGACAGAGCTACTCGTAGTTGGGTGACAAACTACTGTATGGTGCAGATATTAGCGCCAGGTACCAGCTGGTGGGACAACACTGGGACAACACCGGAACAGGGGAACAGGGGGGCTTTCAGCGTCTGCCTTGTCGAAGTGAAGTTGGTCGAAGTTGCCCAATATGTCCTGATTGCCACTCGTTACTGCCCAATAGCGACTGGCCCCTTCCTTCCGCTGTCCCCGACGCCCTTTCCTTGGAGTTATTTGATCCAATTAACCTCCATTATTGCCATTATGCCAATTAATGATAGGAGTCGTTTCTCATCTTATTTCTGGGGACACGGCAACACATGCACAGGGTCCGTCGTCCTTACCCCCCCCTGGTACTTGTACTTACTGGACAGGTCCAGGCGGGACCAAGTGGGCTCCCCATCTGAACTGTGCGAACTGTGGGAACAACACAGAGTGCAAATGGATCGAAACAGCCCCATCAGGGACCGTGACTGGCTAGTTGTCACAGAGAGACAGGTCAGAGCTTTCATCTCCGTTTTTTATCGAATCGCCACTTCCCATCTCCATCCCGTCTCCCTCCCGTCCCCATATTCTGTCGTTTCTTCCCCATCTGCACTTCTGTCTCAATCCATCATCACACTCGTTATTATATCATCACCACCTCGCTGTCGCTCTTCGTACGAAATCAAGAGGAGAAATTTCGCTCAAGCAAGCCCGAAGAAAAGCTACTACTAAAACCGATCGGCGGGCAAGACTAAATCGACGCCATCCCACGAGCTGTTGGCCGTGATCCTCGCCCTAGCACTTGGCGATAGCACCAACACCGCGCGACGATGAGATTCTTGGAGCAGAAGGCTGCCGTCGGCGCCGCTATTGTATTGCTGGCAGCTGTGTCTGAAGCAAGGCACTCGCACAACAGACCAGTGCAATTGGAGAATCTCGAGAGGAGGCATGGACATGGACACAGCCACAAGAATGCTCACTCTTCGAGAGTAGAGCACGAGGACCAGCCGGCTTTGGATAAGCGTGATATTTGCTCGTTCCCATTGACTGCGGGTCTGGTCGCTGTTACTCCAGGCCGTACAAATGCTGGGTGGGCGATGAGCCCCGACCAGCCTTGCACTGCGGGCAAGTTCTGCCCCTATGCATGCCCACCTGGACAACTCATGGGTCAATGGGACGCCGACGCAACTACATACTCATATCCAGCATCGATGGTAGGTTCAGGAACCCCTAAGCCTGCATCCTAGTCAAACTAACGGTCGTAGAATGGTGGCCTTAAATGCGACAGCGGTGGTAAAATCAAGAAGCCATTCCCAAACAAGCCCTATTGCTACCAGGGAACCGGTTCCGTCTTCGCCCACAACGAGTGCAGCCACTCCGTCGCGTACTGCCAGACTGTGCTCCCCGGAAACGAGGCCATGCTCATCCCTACTAATGTGGGCAGTGATCAAACTATAGAAATCGCAGTTCCTGACACAGAGTACTGGGCATCGACGGCGGCACACTACTACATCAACCCACCTGGAGTTTCTACGGCGGAGGCATGTGTTTGGGGCGATGGATCCAAGCCGATTGGTAACTGGAGTCCGTATGTTGCCGGCGCCAATACCGATGGCAGCGGACATACATTCGTCAAGATCGCCTGGAATCCTATCTATACCGGCGAATCGAGTTTCTCGAACGAGCTCCCCAAGTTCGGTGTCAAGATTACTTGTGATGGCGGTGGCTGCAACGGCCTGCCTTGCTCTATCGACCCCGCCGTAGTCAAAGTCAACGGTGTGACGAGCGGCAATTCGGCAACCGGTGCCGGAGGTGGCAACTTCTGCGTTGTCACTGTGCCAAAGGGTTCAAAGGCAAAGATTGAGACGTTCGACGTAGGCGGATCATTCGGTGGAGGTGGTGGCGGAGGCGGTAAGGGAACAACTGAGCCATCTTCCTCCCACGATCCCACTCCAACCCCGACACCAACGCCCACCCCAACACCTACTCCAACACCAACCCCCACACCCAGCCCCAGCAGCTCTTCGGCTGAAAGCTCCTCCTCCTCAAGCGAGTCCAGCAAGTCCAGCGAATCCAGCACTAGGGAGTCCAGCACTAGCGAGTCCAGCAGCAGCAGCGAAGAGAGCAGCAGTGACGATACCACATCCGCCACTGTCCACCCCACCGTCCTGCCACAGATGCTATTTGAGAATGATACCGCCCTCTACAACAACGCGGCGCCCACCGGAGTGGCCTCCGCCGTACAGCAAGGCGACTCCAATGCCTCTAAAGGCGCGGCTCCTTCGACTAGCAGCCCTAGCGTCGCCAACTCCATCTCCCTGCAATCGAGCTTCGTCGCTCTCGCAGCGGCCTTCGCGGCGTGCAGCATGTTACTATAAGCCAGACATCATTATCGCCATGCATATTTACGGATAAGGTCTACGGACCACCTCGCCATACTACTTCGCTGTATATACGATATTTAACTATTTTGCTTCACACATACCCGGGTTCGCAACAGCGAAACGCCTATTTTCACGATAGTTTATGGGATATTTAGGATGAATTTTTATTTTTTGAACGTCTTATACCCCCCTTGATCATAATTCGGCCGGCAGGGATCGGAGAGAAAACCGGATTTTTTACATTCGCAATTACGACTGGCCGCCTCAAGAGTTTTGGAGGCGTGCTGAGTTTTTTTTATTTTATTCAGCTCACTTGAGCGTATTCTTATATTCTAAAATTTGGAGCTTTCAGGCTTTAGATATTTGGGAGGGAGCGAGGGGGAAGCACAAAATATGAAAAGATGAGATATTACGAGATTGGTGTGGTGTGGAAGTTATGAGGGATGTGCATGCGCATCTTTTATAAGTTATCTATGCTATATATATAATCTACCTACAGTGCCTCGAAGGGGGGATGGGGATATTTAGGATAGAGAAATATAAATTTATTTATGTGATTCTGTTTGGTGTGTTGGTATTGTTGGGGATACCTAATCAAGTAGATCGATAGTCAAAGTCGTCGTCAATTAAGGCGACCGCCTCAATTAAGGCGACCGCCTTAATTGACGACGACTTGACTATCGATCTACAACCGATTTTCTGACCAGCTTTCGGCCTGAGGCACCTAAGGCATCATATCAGGTATCATCTTCTCTGAGTGAGGTTGGCTGCATAACCAACCTCCTGAGGCGGAAATAGAGAAGTTCAAAAGTGCGTAGATTAAGAAGACGAAGCTCAAGATATTTAAGAATTGGGTGGTGATATATCCAAACCCTCGATGCGCACAATATGGCGCAGAATTGCGCAAATTATTCAAAAATGCGCAGAAAGAGTGGGAAGTTACTGTTCTAGAATCACGTGCTCTCGCGTCCCTAGCGTCGCGTATACGGCGCGGACTCGAGTTTGCCCGATAAGACGACCGACCCAAAGACCCTTGATAACCGCCAGCCTTGTCATGCACTCTTCGCCCCCTCTCCGACTTCATAAGACCACTTCCCACCCTCCCACATCCATCTTCCATATCCCACGCCCAACCACGACACCCCGAACATGCAAGCACAATCAGCATAGAGCATGGCCCTCCGCACCCCCCCAACAGACCCCGATAGCGACTACGGCTCTGATTTCTCCCCCGAAGACCTAGAGGTTCTCGATCGTCTCGCCGTCCAGACCCCATCTACGGTGGTCAGCCTCCCTTCTCCGCTAACTCCATTCCTTTTCTCCTGCGAGAACAGCCCATCCGCTCGCCGCGATGCCCATCCCGCAGGCTCACGCTATGTGGCTAGGATGCCGATCGCGTATGAGACTCAACCCCCCCCGGCCCCGCCAGTCCGTAGCAGCGCACACCCAGGCAGCCCAAACGGTGCCATCTACCCGGATCGTGAGTCCCCCCTCTCCTCTCCCCCTTCCCGCACGTCAATCTGACACCTGCTAAGCGGCTAGTCTCCGCCACGCTCTCCTCGCTCAACGAACCCATCACCGCACCTGAAGCACCCCCACCCCCACCCGAAGCCCCAGTCCGCGACCCTCGCAGCCCCCTTCAACGCTACCGCCCCGCCCCCCGCACAGCCCTCTCCGTCACCGACCTCGTCTCCCCCGCCTGGTGCGAGCTTCAATACTCCATGACCCTCGCGATGCACGGGCGCAAGCCGCGCACCGAGGCTATGAAGCGCGGGAGCGAGGTGCACGCTGCGCTCGAGGAGGAGGTGTATACTTCTGTCCAGATCGAGGTTGCGACTAAGGAGGATGCGTGGGGGTTGAGGGTGTGGAATGTTATTCAGGGCCTGAGAACGCTGAGGGAGACGGGGATGACGAGGGAGCTTGAGGTGTGGGGTGTTGTGGATGGGGAGGTGGTGGGGGGGGTTATTGATGAGGTTGGGTTTATGTGTCCGGATGTTGAGAAGGAGGAGGAGGCTGTCCATGTTTTTGCGGTGGCTCGCGGTGAAGCACCGCCGCAGCCTAGGACGACACTCCCTACTGACCAGCGCGCGCTGGACGAGTACCTACACCCCGCCCCTCCTCAACCGACGAAGCGGAAATTGTACATCACAGATGTCAAAACCCGCTCCGTCGCTTCCTTACCCCGCGGTGCGTCGTTTCGGCCAACGCAGCTCCAACTAATGCTCTACCACACCCTCCTCTCCTCCCTCGCCGCGGGCGACACCCCCTTTTCCGCCCTCGCGGCGCGATATGAGCTTGACACGCACGCGCCGTTTAGTCCTGGGTTCGTGGCGCAGGTATCCGCGCTCGCGGATGAGGTGTTCTACGACGCCCCCTCAAGCGCGGAAGAAGTCGCCAGCGCGCCGGATCCAGCTGGGTCGGAACTGGCGCGCAATAATACCCTAGAGAAGCTATGGGGCGTTATGATGAAGTTATTCACCGAGGTAGTAGGCGAGGGCGGGTTAGGACGCGTGCTCCGCGCGGAATATCGTAGTTGTGGGACGGGAGGGGTGATTGGAGAGCATGTGTTCGCAATGGATGAGGCTGTTTTGGGAGAGTATGTGGGGCATGGGATGGGCTGGTGGAGGGGGGAGAGGGCGCCGGAGGGGGTTGCGATAAAGGAGGCTTTTAAGTGTCGGAGTTGTGAGTTTGCAGAGGGGTGTGAGTGGCGGCTTATGCAGGTGGAGGAGGCGAGGCGGAGGGCCAGGGGGGGGTGGAGGGGGTAGAGGGGCGTGGTGTGTGGTGTGTTGTTGCTTTGTTGGTAGGGGTTGGGCGTTGGGGCTTGGGGGTTGGTTTTTGGGTGAGTGGACGGGGTGGTATAGAACATACGAAACGGTGGAGGGGGGAGGTGTTTCTACTTCCCTCAACTTTGGTCTATAGATTTACAAGACATAGAAATGGAATTTCTCAAAACGCTGCCTGCGTCTCCACAGACCTGCAACGGTCACCCGCGGCGCCAAAAATATAAGCTGGAGCTTGTCGGTGTGCCCGCGATCATCCCAGCGTCGGAGACAACTCCGCGCCCCTTTTTACGACAAGGGTTGGCCTCAGATTCTGGCGACATCAAGCTCAACCGTTGAGGCTTCATCCAGCTTCGGTTCTACCCGCGGTCGGTAGTGGAGCCGACAGTGCAGATCCCAGGGGGCTGAGAGCTCGGGTGAGAGCTCCCCTGGCATATAATCGTGGTGGTAAGCTATATGCGTTCGCGAGCAGAACGTAGGTGACCTGACCATGGGGTGTAGCCTCGGCTGACCCAAAGTGGGGGGCTCAGCCGACCCCTGCCAAGGCTGTATTACAGTTGAACCTGGATATAAAGATGCCCTCGGGGACCGGGCGTGGCATCCTTATAGCGAGGATATCCTTATGTGGAGGTTCACGGAAATCTGAGGAATATATGTAAAAAAAAAAAAAATTTGTATGCTACTTTGACACCCAGCCATCTTGTAAAAGTTGGGTACTCTTCGCGACTTTCTCTTGCGAGATATCCTTGCCAATCTGTTCTAATGCCTTTATTACTGAAATCCGACCTCCATCTTCAGCGAGGGAAGCAAATAATTGAAGGGTATTCGCTTGCTTCCGCAAGTGATGGTCGGATGTCTTCCTCTTCCCCTTCCTCGTCCCTGTCTGCAATCCCATCCTCCTCTGTAATAGTGTATCTCTGTACTACAGCTTCGAAAATATCTTCATCTCTGTCAACTATCTCTTCGCCTATAGGGTTGAGAAAATCTGCAATTGGCATGATATCTCCTGGTAGCCTCGCAATTTCCATTCCCAGTTCCTCGACCTCACTAGTATTATCTTGACGCATATCTATATTTTCTGGTTTTTTTATAAGAGTCGATCGCCACCAACACTTCTGGATTTTTGGTGCTTTAAGTGCTTCCCACGTAAGTCGACTCCACTATATCGCCTTTAGAATATTAACTGTTTTATTAGGGTTCTTATTGGCCTCGAGCTAGTGTAACATGTAATTAATCCATTGTTTTCGATACCTAAGTTTGAAGCTTGCAATTATCCTTTAATCGAGAGGTTGCCAATGAGATGTCATATTTAGTAGAAGCCAAGCAATTCGAACATTCGACAAACCTTGTAATCCACCAACAAGTTCAACTCCGACTTCATGTCTACAGAAGTTATCAAGTAATAACAGTATCTTGCGATGCTTCATTTTCTCATTTAACCAGTCTAGGTATTCTTTCATAATTAGCCCTGTCATCCATTTTGTCTCATTGTATCGATATTGAATCTGCATGTGCTTAACATCAATATTTTTAAAACATTGAGGATTCTTCGACTTTCCCACAACCCATATATCTAGCTTCTTAGTTCTAGTCGAATTTGTCGTAAATGTGAGAGTAATCTGATCTTTGGATTTCTCTCCCCTACTCAAAGCTTTAGTGGCTAGCATTTGGGTTGGTGTCATCTTCCAAAAGAGCCTAGTTTCATCCATGTTGAAAATATCTTTATCTGCATATGTTGCGCATAGTTGTCAGAGATCTTCCATTTGCATGATATTTGTAGGATTATGGATGTCCGCTGCAGCTGCTTCTCCATGTCAAACATATTCCTTAATCTTAAATCTCTTCTTGAATCCATCTAACTGTAAGGAAGGCCATCACGTGCCACCACGTGAGGTCCCTTTCATTAGGGACCCATAGGGCTCAGTAAAGTAGGGCACAAGGTGCATAGATAAAAGGGGTTGGAGGCCTCGGAAGAAGGCCTCCAGTCAATAGTCGCTGTACTTACGTAGACCTATTGTCCTCACGAATACGATACCCCTTTCCTGCCTCTTGACCTGGTTCCCTGGACTCCTGTGAGACCTTGGGCTTACGCGTTACACTAACCAGCCATTCGACCATTTTGGTTCATTCCTATGAATAGTATATTGTGGCAGACGGTCCCAAAGTTTGTGTGCCTTAGTTTTTAGAATGTCACCAGTAATGATCGCATTGAATGCATTGTTGCCAGTCGAAGAGAGCTATCTAGAGTTCAGGATATTTGCCATTACTTTTTCTCTTTGTGCCAAGTTCAGTCTTCTTCCGTGTATCTGAGTCAAGATATTGGTACTTTGTGGAAAGAATTGAGGATATTTGGCCTTGGCTAAGTTGGCAACCTTGAGCTTGAGCAGCATACCAGGCTATAAGTTTAGGCTGAGTGCACGGGTGGCTGACATATCTGTGTTAAATATATTGTCGCTGAACATTGGTGAGTGCGTGCCTTTTTTTTTGGTTGCTAGGCCTCCATGGTGGAGTTGGTGAATATGGGTTATAAGGATTGTTTGATATAAAAATAATTTTGGGACTACGGATTTAAGGATCATCTTTATATAGAAATAATCCTTATTTTACAGCTACAAAACTACAGGACCAGACTACCCATACTTATACCGAGGATATACTTATATCGAGGGATCTGTAAGAGAATCCCATAGAACCATCTCTTGGGTTCCTAGCCTATAGGAAGTGAAAAGGAGGTCCAAGGTCAGAGTACCTATAGATAAATTATGTCATAACTTAACCAATCTTGTGGGTAACTAAGGAGCGATGACGTGTAATGAATCATAGAGGGTTGTAGAAGCTTCTAGAGCTATCGTTCATGTTCCTAGCCTCTAGTTGGTAGAGATATGCCATGTGGTAGTATTGGCCCACCCCCTTAAGGAGGAGATTTTCTTAATAACTTGTTCAATGAGTGTCCAAATGATATGCCGTGATGTATGTAGCATAAACAGATGTAGTAGAAGAGTTTGCAGCAATCGTTGAGTAGTATTGCTCTTGTTGTTGGGATCCTTATATCCAGGTTCAACTGTATTACTATTGATAGTAATCTTCATTTTAAGGATGAAAGATATCAAGAAGAATGCCTTGTAGAAAAAGAAAGAAGAGGTAAGATTTTATAATGCATTATAGATATATTATTAATACATTACTAATGGACTTACCAAGCCATCTTTCTTACGTAGAGCAAAGGAGCAGCATGTTATGGCTATTAGCAGAGCTATTAGCTGAGTAGGTCACAAGATAGGACCCTACGACACCCTGTAGGATGGAACTGTAAGAACTGTTAGAATGTCATACTGACATTCGTTGCACTCAGTTTGCTATCAAACTCAAGAGCAAACTTAGAAATCTCCTCCTCAAACCTACAAGTCACCATACATATCTTGGCTTATCACACCAACAACAAGAGCAATACTACTCAAAGATTGTGGCAAACTCTTCTACTACATCTGTTTATGCGACATACATCACGGCATATCATTTGGACACTCATTGAACAAGTTATTAAGAAAATCTCCTCCTTAAGGGGGTGGGCCAATACTACCACATGGCATATCTCTACCAACTAGAGGCCTAGGAACATGAACGATAGCTCTAGAAGCTTCTACAACACTCTATGATTCATTACACATTATTGCTCCTTAGTTACTCACAAGATTGGTTATGTTATGATATAATTTGTCTATAGGTACTCTGACCTTGGACCTCCTTTTCACTTCCTATAGGCTAGGAACCCAAGAGATGGTTCTATGGGATTCTCTTACATTCGCTACATGATTAGCAAGCTAGTTGTGGGTCGCACTTGATTTCTAATACATTTACCAAGCCTGGTTAGTCATGGAAAGTCATGGAAAATGAGAGAACTACACTCCTTTGGCATAAATAGGATTGCCCTTTCCTTAAGAAAGGGCAAGCAGACAATACAGTAAATTGACTATCACATACTTCCATGTCTTTTCCAAGCTTCCAAGCATTGGTCTTGTTACTCCTTGTTTCTGAAAAGTCAGTGAGGTGCTAACCTCTGACTTATCCCTGAGTTCTCAGAGTCAACATTTATACAACTTGTCTAAATCACTCCACTACATCATACACTTGATTGCTGCGTTGTGGAATAGTCTAAGCTACAACCCTTTGGCTCTGTTTCCTAAGACAGTGTGTTGTCTTAGTAAAATCATCCCTTCCCCTGGTGTCATACTGACATTCGTTGCACTCAGTTTGCTATCAAACTCAAGAGCAAACTTGGAAATCTCCTCCTCAAACCTACAAGTCACTATACATATTTTGGCTTATCACACCAACAACAAGAACAATACTACTCAACGATTGCTACAACCATCTATGATTCATTACACGTCATCGCTCCTTAGTTACTGGGCCGATATTACCACATAGCATATCTCTACAACCCTCTATGATTCATTACATGACATCACTCATACTACCACATGACATATCTCTACCAACTAGAGGCCTAGGAGCATGAACGATAGCTCTAAAAGCCCCTACGAACCTCTATGATTCATTACATGTCATCGCTCTTTAGTTACCCACAAGATTGGTTAAGTTATGACATAATTTGTCTATGACATAATTTGTCTATGACATAATTTGTCTATGACATAATTTGTCTATGACATAATTTGTCTATAGGGGTACTCTGACCTTGGACCTCCTTTTACTTCCTATAGGCTACGAACCTAAGAGATGGTTCTATGGGATTCTCTTACGTCAACTACAGTTACCAAGCCTGGTAAGTCATGGAAAATGAGAGAACTACACTCCTTTAGCATAAATAGGATTGCCCTTTCCTTAAGAAAGGGCAAGCAGACAATACAGTAAATCGACTATCACATACTTCCACGTCTTTTCCAAGCTTCCAAGCATTCATCTTGTTACTCCTTGTTTCTGAAAAGTCAGTGAGGTGTTAACCTCTGACTTACCCCTGAGTTCCCAGACTCAACATTTGTTGCAACTTGTCTGAACCACTTCACTACATCACACACCTGATTGCTGCGTTGTGGAATAGTCTAAGCTACGACCCTTTGGTTCTGTTTTCTAAGACAGTGTGTTGTCTTAGTAAATTCATCCCTTCCTTGGGTGGCTAGATTCTCACATCTGGTGCACCCACCATTACACCAATATCCACTAGTTTCTGCAACTATCCATTAGCCCCGTCACATGGCAGCCTACCCCGCTTCCCACTGTGACTCACACGTCACGTTACTAGGCCCTGGGCCTGTAACCATGACATCATGTTACTATAGCCGTAACACAACATTATACCCCTTTGTTTGCCTGCTCATTCCTCTCACTTAACCCAGCCACTTGATGTCGGGTGCTTTAGTGTATTAAAACGGTCGTACGGTCTTCAAATTGAGCACTTTATTAAGGCTCATATTAATCATATCAGCAAGGTTGAGTTCTTCATTGCGTTCAAGGCGGCGTATGAACAGTCACTTTTAGTCCAAAATGGCCAAGCTGGATTCCAGGGAGCTGGTTTAATACCGTACGATCCTTAAGTAGTTATATCTAAGCTTGATGTTAACTTACAAGCGGTTACACCTCCTCGGCTCCCCTCGGTAGACAAGGACCCTTGGGTCTCTCAGACGCCTCACAACCCGACCGAAGCTCTTTCACAAACAACCTTAGTTAAAGGTCGTATTGCACGTCACCAAGGAAGACAGTTGCTTCATTAGCAAAGGGGACAGAGCTTTCAGGTTATGTTACTACTTAAAGTATTAATTTAGCTATAAATTCCTCTTCTAGATCCTCTTTTTCTTCCTTTATAAAATCCCAACTCTTTAAACAAGCTATTACTTAAAAATATCTTTAGAAAGCCTATTTCTAATCTTTAAAATAATAAGGCTATCTATGTTACGATTACAGCTCACAGCTTGTTATGGTTATTATGGTTGTTATAGGTATATAGGGGATTACAGGTGCAGCTTAGTCACCAAGGCTACAACCGCTAAGCAGACAACTGTATATTACGAGTAATAGCCTCACCTTCCTTTGTTCTTCTTCTTCTTCTCTCTTTAAATTCAATCTAGCTTACTTTACCCGGACTGGCACCATGACCTCCGTGACCATCGTAACAAATAGTAGGTGGGTAAAGGCAGAACCTTTCGTCTACCACCTTGGTAACTTTGATGACGGTGGTTTTAGAACCATGGTTAAAAGAGCCAGGGTTAGAAAATCAATTATAATCATGATTATTAGGTCGTAATCATAATCATGATTATTTACAAAGTGCATAATGTACTTAATAAGTAAGTGGATCGTTTATGTTAACAGATCACGACCCTACTAATTCAGTAATTCTCAACATAATTACATAACAACAAAATAAAATATCTATTATTAAACTATCCTAATTCGAACTATCCTTAAGTGGGCACATATGAGCTGTATGTATAAGTGATTTACATAAGCTACATTTGTTTACCGCACATGTTTGTGGTCTTGTAACCTAGTCTATAACTTGCCCTATAAGATGTAAATCTATATCTCTAGACTAATCTACACCCCACTAAACAGTTAAAACACCCCCTGTGGCTATATATGACCTTCGTATATGTAAGGACACAGGGCACCCAGCTCACAGTAATAGCATATGAGAGTGCGAGTTGGAGGCTAAACGGATGCTATCCTATAGGTCTACTACGAAGGATACAAAAAAGATGAAGAGAGGAACCCCCGTTGGGTCAATCTCCTTAAGTACCCGAAACGGGTCTGACTCGGCTAACCTGCCTTCACTCTCACCACATGACCATAACTTGTCCGACTCAGATACCTTCCGTCACTGAGGGAGAGGGACCCCGTTGGGTCAATCCCCTTAAGTACCCGAAACGGGTCCGACTCAGCTAACCTGCCTTAACTCTTATCATGTGACCATAACCTGCCTGACTCAGTGTAATGGTGGGTGCACCAGATGTGAGAATCTAGCCACCCAAGGAAGGGATGAATTTACTAAGACAACACACTGTCTTAGAAAACAGAGCCAAAGGGTCGTAGCTTAGACTATTCCACAACGCAGCAATCAGGTGTGTGATGTAGTGAAGTGGTTCAGACAAGTTGCAACAAATGTTGAGTCTGGGAACTCAGGGGTAAGTCAGAGGTTAACACCTCACTGACTTTTCAGAAACAAGGAGTAACAAGATAAATGCTTGGAAGCTTGGAAAAGACGTGGAAGTATGTGATAGTCGATTTACTGTATTGTCTGCTTGCCCTTTCTTAAGGAAAGGGCAATCCTATTTATGCTAAAGGAGTGTAGTTCTCTCATTTTCCATGACTTACCAGGCTTGGTAACTGTAGTTGACGTAAGAGAATCCCATAGAACCATCTCTTAGGTTCGTAGCCTATAGGAAGTAAAAGGAGGTCCAAGGTCAGAGTACCCCTATAGACAAATTATGTCATAGACAAATTATGTCATAGACAAATTATGTCATAGACAAATTATGTCATAACTTAACCAATCTTGTGGGTAACTAAAGAGCGATGACATGTAATGAATCATAGAGGTTCGTAGGGGCTTTTAGAGCTATCGTTCATGCTCCTAGGCCTCTAGTTGGTAGAGATATGTCATGTGGTAGTATGAGTGATGTCATGTAATGAATCATAGAGGGTTGTAGAGATATGCTATGTGGTAATATCGGCCCAGTAACTAAGGAGCGATGACGTGTAATGAATCATAGATGGTTGTAGCAATCGTTGAGTAGTATTGTTCTTGTTGTTGGTGTGATAAGCCAAAATATGTATAGTGACTTGTAGGTTTGAGGAGGAGATTTCCAAGTTTGCTCTTGAGTTTGATAGCAAACTGAGTGCAACGAATGTCAGTATGACAATTGGATAGTTGAGCTATCCACGAACTATCCTGAATATCTAGCTATCCGCCAACTATCCAGATTACCCATGAGGCACGACGCCACTATATAAGTAGATAGTATTTCCTTATATAGGAGCTTCGTGCTCAACTCAATATAGTATTCTTTACAATACTGTAACATGTTACTTGGAAAGCCTTTGTGTCTAATCCCCTGCCTCCTCTGTCAAGTCAACCTTACGCAAGAAACCTCTGTGTCTTCTATCGTTTAGAAGTCAGCGTTACATGTTGTTGGACTTGCAATATGCTTGAAATGCAGCTGAATCATGACTCTCGTGTCCATCAAGAACCAACATTCGATAAGGGCCCTTTGCCGTACGAGCAGTATGCTTGTCAAAGTGCTTTAACCACTGAAAACCCATCTCATTGTCAGTCCATCCATTGCTTGTTGGTTTGATAGCCCAGTCGTGTGGTAAGCCACTTTCAGTATACCAATTTGCAAGGTGATTAACCCCTTGTACGACCAGAAATGGAGGCACACTTCTACCCTCACCATTGATGCACACGATTGCTGTAGCCCATTCACGATTGCCAGGCTGAACTGCCTTGCCTCGGCCACATTGATCGGAGCGCGTAACTACCATTCCAGGACAGATCACGCCCATCATAAACCCTGTCTCGTCGAAGTTGTAGAAATCGCAATCCAACACCCCATATTTAGCTCTCATGTTTCGTACGAGCTCAAACCACCCTCCAATAAGCACAGAATCTTCGCATAAGGCCTTTTGGAAGTCATAAACACGATTAAAACGTGTCTTTAGTTCTGGGTGTCGTCGTACAAATCGATGCGCCCAGAGCTTCCCAACGCGCTTTCCCTGACGCGTTTCGAGGAGATAGTTGGCCATATCTTCAACACCAGCCAACCGGGGTGCAAATCCTCTTGAATCTAAGTCAATTATATGTTGACTAATTACTTCCTCTTCAAGTTCAGTCAATTTTTGGACAGCTGGTCGTCGCTCACGAATATCCGTACGACTGTTCATTCTACCAGTAAGTGTAGAATAAGGTACGTTATAGATCATTGCTGCACGAAGACAAGTAAGCTTTTTAGTGGTACAATAGCCTCGGTAGCTAAGATGATTCTAGCTTCTTGGGTATGAACCGCATAATACGTGTAAGGCGGCCCATCATGTGAGGCCGCCCTGAACTCAGGGGCTGCCTGGCAGTGGAGCCACTAGGGCTCGGTAAACTAGGGCATGTAGGAACGTAGGATATAAGGAGCTGGAAGCCTCAGAAGGAGGCCTCCAGCCGATAGTCGCTGTACATACGTAGACCTACTGTCTTGCAATACGATCTCACTTCATTATTGAAATAACGCGTATTGAAGCTAGGGTTGTGGATAAAATGCGAAAAGCTAACTGGGTACTGATATTAACCGGGTATTGATAAACCACGTTAATCATAATCATGAATATTCATGATTATGAATAATCATGCTTATGTAATATTTGACTATTTGAATAGTCATGATTATTATGATTATTTGTGCTAACCCTGCCGTCCATGGCCCCCAACACCACCAACATTGGGGGCTAAACCCACCATCCATCATACACCATCCGCCATCCGCCATCCACATATAACCCCCCAAACCCCCAGCTCCCCTCCCTTCCACAACCAAATTTCCATATTCAAATACTCGTATTAAATGGTACCAATCACACATATAAATATATACTCCCCATCTTTGCTAAATACACAACCTCTTCCCCCTTCCCTCACATCTTCATCCCCATGCATCTCATATACAACCCCACCGAATTATGGAATATACAGGCCAGACTCAAAGAAAAAAAAAAAAAAAAAAGAGAAGAGCAAGAGCAAGAGAGCGATAGATGACAGAAAAAAAACAGGTAAAGATGCGAATCCCCACCCAACCCAACCGCGCTCCGAATATATGCATTAACCCCCCCCCCCCCTTCATCACTCCTCACCACCCCCCACGGCCATAGCAGCCTTCCCCAAAAACGCACTCCCCTCCACCACCCTCCCCGCCAACCCCCCCACACTCCCCGCCTGCAACACGTCAAACACCGCCACATCACTCCCCGCCTCTCTAAAGATCCAATTCCGAATATCCACCGCCAGCAACGAATCAATCCCATACGCCGCCGTGCTCCTCGTCGCATCAATCTCCGCAACCGGCATCGCCAGAGCGCGCGCCAGTTTGGCTAAAAGGGCCTCGAGGACCGTGGCTACGGCTGCGGACTTCGATGGTGCGGATCCCAGCAGGGTCTTGAGACTCGCGCGGCCGGCGGTGGAGGCGCCGCCCGAGCCGTCTGCCGCGCGCGCGAGGTGCGGGCGGAGGGCGTCGAGGTGGGAGAATACGGGGTCGCGGCTCCAGAAGGGGAGGTCTGCAATATCAGCCCCGGGATCGAGACTCGTATGAGCGCCCGTGATAAGATGGCCGTTCGTGACCCCCACAGCGTTGGGGAGCATAGCCAGCTCGATAATGGCGTGCAGCTCCGCCTCCTGGATATCTTTGAGTCCGATACGGATGAGGTTCTCTTCGATGATGGAATCCTTGCTCTCGGCCACGACGCCAACGCTGGCTACTTTGCCGATGTCGATTGCGGTTGCCGGGAGGCCGAGGCCGAGACGGTGCGCGGCGAGGGCGACTTGGTATGTGCATGCGGCGACGTAGTTACCCTGGCCTGCGTTACCCAGGAAACTGGACGCAGACGACAAGAGAACGAAGAAATCGAGCGGCTGGTCCAACGTCGCCTGATGCAGCGACCACGAACCCTGGACCTTGGGACGCACCGCGCTGACGAAGGTCTCGTATGGCATATTCGCAAAGATCTGATCACGCAACACCATCGCGCCCTGAATCACCCCGCGAATAGGCGGCATAGTCTTCAACGACGTGTTGAGCGAGTCGAACAGCATGACCTCGTCGGCGATATCACACTGTATGACTTGAACACGCACCCCCTTCCCCATGAGCGTGCTGACCAGCTCGCGCGCGGCATCATTCGAGACGCCGGAGCGGGAGACGAAGATGAGATTCCGTGCCCCGTTGGCGACCATCCACATCGATAAGCTTCGACCGATTCCGCCCAGGCCGCCGGCGAGGAGGTAGGATGCGTCGGCGTGGAATTTCGCGCCCTTGGGTGGCTGCGGCATGACCTGTTGATACGAATTAGCATCATCCCCTGACGACAAACTGGGAAACCCGGGAAAACATACCTGCACCACATCCCCCTCCCCCGGCACCACCACAATCTTCCCAACATGCCTCCCCGCCTGCATATGCCTAAACGCCTCCCCCACCTCCCCAAACCCCCACGTCCTCACCGGGTTCGCCCCTCCCTCCCCCCCACCAGTCACCCCACCCAACTCCCTGCGAATCTCCATCCCCATCCCCATCGCCTCCCTAAACATACTCGCCCCGAGTCGTCTATTAAGCCTCAACATCGCCGTAATATCCACACTCGCAAACACCACATTCCTCACAAACGGCCCCATATCCAGGCGTCCACCGGCCTCGATATCGCGCTTGCCGAGCTCCACGAACCGGCCGAAGGGCGCGACGCACCGCCAGCTAGCGCGGAGGGATTCCCCCGCGAGACTGTTGAGGACGACATCCACCCCGCGTCCGTCGGTGACGCGCTTCACGCCAGCCTCGAAGCTGACATCGCGAGAACTAAAGATGCGTTCCGCGGGAATGCCGAAGAGAGACATGATATGCGCCTTCTTCTCCCCCGTGCCAACGGTAACATACACCTCCGCACCCAACCTCTGCGCGATCTGTATCGCCGCCTGCCCAACCCCTCCCGCAGCAGCATGAATCAAGACCGACTCCCCAGCCTGCATACGCGCCAAGTGCACGAGGGCATAATACGCCGTGACGTAAATAATCGGGAACCCCGCCGCGGCGACAAAATCCATATCATCCGGGATCTTCATCACCGTATCAGCCGGATTCCGCATCAGCGTCGCGAAACACCCCAGACACCACACCGCGACGCGATCACCGACAGCGACGTGCGTGACCCCCTCGCCGACCTGGGTCACGACGCCCGCGCACTCGTTGCCGAGGTAGTTATCGCTCATCTCGCCCATCGCGATGAGGATGTCGCGGAAGTTCAGGCCGACGGCCCGGACGCTGATCTCCACCTCCCCCTTTGCGATCGGCACCGTAGCGCCCACCGTGGGGTCGTCGGAGAAGTAGAACGAATCCAGACTTCCCACCCCGTCAAGCGTGAGTTTCAGCGGACGTCCGGGTTGAACCAACTTCTCCGCCCTGGGCTTCAGCGCTGCGGCCCCAGTGCGCGTGGCGATGTACTTGTTAAACGCATCGTCCTCCACCATGCGCTTGACATGCAGTATGCCATTCCTCTCCGCAAACTCGCGATCATTCACCGCCGCCGCCTGTCCGCGGATGAACGTCTGTCTGAAGACCCCAAACAGGAGATCAACGACCTGATCAGCAGGGAGTCTATAATCCGCGTCCAAATCCACCGTAACGCACGGGAACCCCTCCTGCTCGGCGCGCAAACTCCTCGCGAGGCCCTGGAAGATCGAGAGTTCAGGCTTACTACTCCTCCCCGCGATACTACCGCGCGTAATCCACAACAGTCCGACAGGCTCACTCGTCAGCCTCTGGAGCTGCGCGAAATCCGCCGGCAGCACCTCAGCAAGCACACTCGAATCCAGCTCAGCGAGACAGATGACAATCTTGCCCTGCAACTCCGTTCGCGCCAGCCCAGTGAACGACACGATCTCAACCCCGATCCCGTGGCCCCCCAAGGCAGAACACGTCGAGTCGAGGAGCTCAGCCGCTGCGGCCCCGCCACCGTAGGGCGCGACGAGGACGACGTGCAGAGAGAGCGGGAGTCCGAGGGTGGCAACGTTAGAGTCGGGCTTCAGCACCGACGCGACCATAACGCTCGTAACATGCGCCCTCGCATCCAAGACATCCGGTGCACTGGCCTCAAGCGCACCAAAGCCATGCCTTGACAACACATCCTCCCACTGATGCTCCTGCAACGGTGGCGCCGGTCTTGTCAGAATAACCGCCGCCGAGAGATGAAGGTGGGTCGCCTCAAGCAGTATCAGCTTGCCCCCTGGCTTCAGCATCGCCCGAACATTCGCCAGCGCAACCTCTACATCCACCGCATCACCGAGCGAGTTTGCAGCGATGACAACATCGAACTGCCGTCCCCCAAAGCCCTGCGCGCCGATATCCCCCCCAATATCCAGAACACGCGTCTCAAACAGGCTTCCCCACTTCTCAAACGCCTTCGTGGTAGCCACAAACGTCGCATCAGACGGATCAGAGTACGTATACGCCTTCACCTTCGGGTACCTGTACTTGGCGCACCCATCCAGCGCGTCCAGGACATGCCTCGTCGCATCCCCCATCCCGGCGCCGAGTTCTAGGTACTCCAGATCGGGGTACTTGTGCGCCAGCATCGTCAGGTACCTCTGCAACGCCGCATACGTATGCGGCACCCCCATCGCGGTCGCGAAGTAATCGCTCACGACCCCGCTCTCCTGCCTGAAGACATCCGGGTCGATCTCCTCGCGAAGCACACCGGGGAGCACCATACCCATGCGCACGAGCAGTCGCGCCTCCGCGTCGCCAGAGGTGGAGAAATCAGCAATAAGGTTATGCACGCGCTCTTGCGTAGCGAAGTCCTCGAGCGCTTCCCAGAGGGGAGTCTGGTACTCCGCTTTTCCCACGCGCACAACCTCGCGCTGGTGGAGGAGGAACTCATATAGCTCTCTCCTCTGAGGACTCACCTCCGCCTCCTGCACATCGCGGAGCGCAGCATCGCAGAACCACCACGCTACGATCTCGACGTCTTCGCGTCCCGCAACGCCGGGTGACGCAGCACGGACAGCAGCCCCGCGGAGGACACGCAGCATCTGCAGATCACCGAGTAAATCCACATCCGGCTCCCACACGGCAGTCCCGCAATGCTTCCTCACCACGTCAACGGGGCCACCCCCACTAATAGCCGTACACTTCATCCCCTTAATCTTGACCACGGCCTCCCCCCCAAGAGGGTCAAACACCGTGATCCCGGCCACCGCCTCGCGCACCCCCTTGAACGCCGCCTTGGCGCAAGCGCGGAACTCGTAGCCGGCTTGACTAGCAATAGTGCTGGCAAAGGATAACTCCTCGATAAAGGTCGGCACGAAGGGCTCGTGGACAGCACCACCCAGGTCGCCCTGGGAGAGGGCGGGGATGATCATCTGGATAAACCCATCCAGAGTCGCCGGGTGCACGAGGCTGGGGTACTCAAACTCCATAGGCATCGTGGACCTGGTATCCGGCACCGCCACGCGACCGACGGCCATCCCGCCGCCAGTGGCAACAGAAGTGATAACCCGGAACGACGGACCGTACCACAGCCCTCCCGCGGCGAGGGCATCGTACATCCCCCCCACGTCGCCCTTCCGCCCACACACCCGCTCCGCCTTCTCCATCTCCGCCCTCGCCGCGCGCTCTCCCTCTACAAATTCATCAGCGCCGACCATCTCCGCGATAGACACAGGCGCAGCGCCAGTAGCGGCAACAACAGCAGCGGAAGCAGGGGTGAAATCAACACCCACCATACCCCTACAATGCTCCGCCCATCCACCCTCTCCGTACGAGAACACCCTAAACTCCCTCCACGCGGCGGAGCTCACCGTCGTACTATCCGGCAGGGGACGCATGCTAAACACCGTCTCCACACCCTCCTCGCTAGCCGGCACAACAAGCGCTCTCGAGATCGCGAGATCCCTAACCGTAAACCCACGTACCATCCGTCCCGGAGGCAGCGCCGTAACGGACAGAACCTGCGCCGCAGCCTCAAGAGCCATGCACACGTACCCCGCCGCGGGGTAAATGACCGTGTCCTGCACCTGGTGATGTTTAAGCCACGGCAACTCAGACAATCTCACGAAATTCCTCCACATCGGCTCAGTAGGGTTCCAATCCGTCGACTGCGCACCAAGCACATCAGTCCTCGGGAACGGACGGAGCCTGTAGTCCAGCGACAGCCGCGACTCAGCCCAGTACCGCGTACTATGGTTCCAGACATAACTCGGCAGGTCCGGCAGCGTCGCGAGGGGCTGCGCCAGCGGCGACGGGAAATTAGCCGTATGAACATCGGCACCATGTCCCGACGCCGACAGCGACGCGGCCAACGCAAGCATCGTCTCCGCACCATCCTTATTCCTCAGCAGCGCAGGTAGGTACGTGATGCCCGCCTTACTCAAACTCGTCGACGCAGTCAGGATCTGCTTCACCGGCCCACCCAACGCAGCATGCGGCCCGAGCTCGACGAGGATGTTGACTGCACCGCCACGGGCGCGGCGCTGGCCCTTCTTCTTCCCCTTTGCCTCGGGGGTACAGAGGTGGGCGAGGGCGGAGGAGAATTGCACGGGTGACACCATGTTGCGGACCCAGTAGTCGGCGTCTAGTGCTTCGTCGGCGGCGGAGCGGGCGGTGACGGAGGAGATCATCTCGATGGGCCAGCGCTGGCCTAGAGGCGTGACAGCGAGATCCTCGAGGTCTGCGCGGTAGGCCGCGGCGATGGAATGCATGTGATGCGAGTGGTATGCCGTGTCCACCATAAGTTTCCTCGCAAACACGCCATCCGCATCCAATCTGCTCTTCAGCACCTCAATCGCCGATTCATCACCCGAGACTGTAACGCTTCCCGGGCTATTAATACAAGCAATCACCACCCGTCCAAGCGCCGCATCAACACCCGCCACATACCCCCTTGCAGCAGCCTCATCAAGACCAACCGCCATCATCGCCCCGCGCAGCCCCAGCGAGGACACCCTCGACGAGTGCACACCGCGGAAATACGCGACCTGCAGCGCGCCGCTAAGGGATAGGGCACCAATCGCATACGCAGCCGCGATTTCACCACTGGAATGCCCGACAACGCGCGCGGGATGCACGCCCCATGCACTCAGCAGATCCGCTAGGGCGATCTGCAGAGCAGTGCACAGCGGCTGGCTGATGGCAGCTTCATTGACGCGGGTCTCGGATTCAGGCTTGGAGAGCTCGGTGAGCAGCGACCACGGGGCGCCGAGGGAGGTGAGGATGTCGTCGGCTTTCAGCACGACGTCTTTGAAGACTGGGTAGGCTAGGAGCTCGCGCCCCATGCCGGCCCATTGCGCGCCTTGGCCTGTGAAGACGAAGCCTAGCTTTGGCGTCTCGGCTGCGCGACGGGTGGGTTTGAGACCGGGCGCCTCGAGCTTAGTAGCCAGCTCGGCGATAGACGATGCAACAACAGCAACAGTCCAAGGTAGGGTAGTACGGCGCGTATGCAGTGTGTAGGCGAGGTTATCAAGGTAAGCCGTATCAGTAGCATCAGCAGGAATAGTAGCGAGATGCTCCGCGAGACTCTTCGCCAGCGTAACAGCAAGCTTCTCCTCGTTAGCAGAGACCTTGAAAATGCGCGGGCGCGCATTCAGGGCCGAGGTGGAAGAAGCAAGAATCGCATCCTTCTCCACGATCTCCTCAATCTTGCCCCCCTGCCCCAGCAACAGCGGTCGCTGCATCCCCTCCCCCAGCAGCGACGTTGGGGACGTAGTATGATTACCCTTCAGCCCGCGACTCTGGAGGTAATGGAACGCATCATCGATAATAGCATGGCAATTCGTCCCACCAAAGCCAAACGAGTTGATACTCGCCCGCCGCAGCCCCTCCGTCGGCCACGCCGTCGGCTCGGTAGGGACCTTGATGCGCCACCCCTCAAAGTCGATCGCGGGGTTGCCATTGTCAAACCACAGATTCGGCAGCACCACTCCGCGCTCCAGACTCAGCACCGCCTTAATCAGGCCAGCCAGTCCACTAGCGCCCTCGAGATGGCCGATATTGGTCTTCACGCTGCCGACGAAGAGCTTCCCCTCCTCACCCGGCCCGCGGGATTTTCCAAGCGTCGCTCCGATCGCAGACGCCTCGATCGGATCTCCAGCTGCTGTGCCCGTGCCGTGCGCCTCGAAGTAGCCGGTAGCTGCGGGATCGCAGCCAGCCTGCTCGTAGGCGGTCTGGATGAGCTCCGCCTGCGCCTCCTTCGATGGCAGCGTCATACCAGCCGTCCTACCATCCTGGTTCGACGCCGTTCCACGGATAACAGCGCGGATGGTATCTCCGTCCCTGAGCGCCGCATCGAGGGGTTTTAATACTAAAGCAGCCATACCCTCGCCACGTGCGTAGCCGTTCGCACGCTCGTCGAAGGTGAAACATGTCGAGTCTGGGGAGAGGAAGTGCATGTTGCTCATTCCCACGTGGATTTCGGGGTTGATGAGGGCGTTTGTTGCCCCCACAATGGCCACGCGGGATTCGCCTGCCCGTAGGGATTGGCAGGCTAGATGGACGGCGACTAAGCTACTAGAGCAGGCAGTGTCGACCGTCAGAGAGGGACCCTTCAGGTTAAAGCAGAAGGAGATGCGGTTAGAGAGAATAGCGGGCACAATTCCCACAGAGTGGTACTTCGGGGACAGCTCCATATCACGCTTCAGGAGACCGTCATAATCATCCGTAAAGCAGCCGACATAGCATCCCGTATCAGAGCCGTCCATATCCGCCAGCGTCATACCGGCGTTCTCCATAGCCTCGTAGACCACCTCCAGCAGAATCCGCTGCATAGGGTCCATACTCTTCGCCTCAGCGGGGGAGATGGAGAAGAAGCGCGCATCAAACGCGGCAATATCCTCTTTGAGGTAATGCCCACCTTTCAGGTTCATCTATCACCCGTTAGTCCTGCATATCATGAGAAAAAAATATATATATATATATCAAAAACTCACAGAACCACTCCTATCAGCATCCGGATGATAAAACGACTCGACATTAAACCGGTCTTTCGGAACCTCCGTCCGCGCGTGCCTCTTATTATACAGCATCTCCCACAGCTTCTCCGGGCTAGTAGCCTCCTGCGGAAACCTACATCCCATTCCCACAATGGCAATGGGCATGCTCTTATCCTCGCCTTCCCCCTCGTGCACCCCGCCCCCAGCGTCCTCATCCACAGAGGACCCGGGCGTCAGCACCTCGGCTACCCGGCGCTGCTGCTCGTCCTTGAGCAGCACCTCCTCGCGCAGCGGGGGCGTATCGGGGACATATGGTAGGAGGGGGCGCCCGTGTATGGGCTGTGGGGAAGAGGTGGAGGCGCTGGTATCGGTGCCGGCGCTGCCCCCGAGGGAGCGCGCTTCAAGTAGGTCGAGGCGCGCATCTAGGCGCTTGGAGAGGGAGGCGAGGGCGGCTTCGACATCGAGGGCGAGGGCGGAGAGGGAGGGGTGCGCGGGTGCCAGGGCGGCCATGGCCGCGGTTGTATATGTGAGAGCGGGAGCTCTATCCGGTTGTCGGTTTGGGTTGGGTGGGGGTTTGAGGCGTCTATGGCGTTGGCATCAGGCGGCGGCGGGGAAGTGGGGATGCCGAGTCTGGGGGAGCGTGGTGGGGGAGATTATATGTAAGTCGGCAGCTGTCGGTGTAGTAGAGAATGTAGTCGTCGTCGTTGTGGTTGTCGAGAGAGTGTCGGTGGAGGAATGGTAGGAATGCGGGGAAGGAAACATGCTTTGGGGGCGTGTTTCTGTCGAGTGTCGTTGAGGGGGAGGTGGTCTGTTCGGTGGGAGAAGCGAGACAGCGATGATCTTATCTGCGGGAGGGAGGGAGGGGAGGGCGTGGGCTGGTGGGACCTTGGTGGGTATGTTGGTCTGGGTATGTTGGTCTGGGATGTTGGTCTGGGTATGTTGGTCTGGGTATGTTGGTCTGGGCGACGATGGAGTAGCAAGCAAGTACTCCTCCCTCTGTCTCCGTCGTAGAGCAAGCACGTACTGTAACCCTCTCTGTGTGACCCTCTCTGTGTGGTGGTGGGGCACGTTATCGGTGGAGTTGAGCTATCCAAAGGGGGAGGTATGTCCGAGAAGGTATGAGCTGTGGTCTTGCGTAGTGTTGAGGGGGGAAGGTGGAAGGGGGAAGGGGGAAAGGGGAGGGAAGGGAAGGGAAGGGGGAGGGAAGGGAAGGGAAGGGAAGGGGGAGGGAAGGGGAGGGAAGGGGGAGGGAAGGGGGAGGGAAGGGAAGGGAAGGGGAGGGGGACGGGAAAGGGGAGGGGGAGGGAAAGGGGAAGGTGAAGGGGAAGGGGAAGGTGAAGGGCGGGCAAGGAAAAGGGGAAGGGGAAGGGGAGGGGCAAGGAAAAGGAAAAGGAACAGGGCAAGGGAAAGGGACAGGGCAAGGGAAAGGGACAGGGCAGGAAAAGGAACAAGGCAAGGGGGACGAAGAAGCGAAGAAGCGAAGAAGCGAAGAAGCGAAGAAGCGAAGAAGCGAAAAAGCGAAAAAGCGAAAAAGCATGTGCGTGAAACGATTGGTAAGGTATTAATGACAGTACGGAGAGGTACAGAGGATGCATGTGGATGTACCTGGAGGTACCTGTGGATGTACGGGAGGTAGGACAGGACTATTAGGGTTTAGGGTGAGGGAGTGAGCCGAGGTAGGCCATATGGATGGAGATGTGGAGATACCATGTGGTATGGAGATATGGATGGAGATATGGATGGAGATATGGATGGAGATATGGATGGAGATATGGATGGAGATATGGATGGAGATATGGATGGAGATATGGATGGAGATATGGATGGTGATATGGATGGTGATATGGATGGTGATATGGATGGAGATATGAATGGTGATATGAATGGTGATATGAATAGAGATATAAACGATCCAAAGATATCCGAGTTGGCGAAAACAAAATAGCAACCAACGCCCAGCCAGACGCGCGCCAAGACCTCCGTCGCCGCTAAGCTGTGCCCCTTGTATGTACCTATGGGTATGTACCTATCTTCATCTTCAATCTTCAATCGCCAATCTTCCATCCATCTTCCATCTTCCATCTTCCATCTTCCATCTTCATCCTACATCCTTCAACCTTCCACTGTACGCCTTCCACTGTACGCCTTCCACTGTACGCCCGCCAAGAGAAGTGCCGAGGAACCGAGAGTATCAATCAGTCGGAGCGAAAAAGGGAGGACTGGTTTTGGGGGGGAAGGAGGGAGAGTAGGAAGGGAAAGAGGGAAAAGGGAAAGAGGGAAGAGGGAAAGAGGGAAGAGGGAAAAGGGAAAGAGGGAAAGGGGAAAGAGGGAAAGAGGGAAAGAGGGAAAGAGGGAAAGAGGGAAAGAGGGAAAGAGGGAAAGGGGGAAAGAGGGAAAGAGGGAAAGAGGGAAAGAGGGAAAGAGGGAAAAGGGGCAACGGGAAATAGAGAGAAAGGGATAGGGAAAGGGAAAGGAGAAGATAGGAGGACGGAAAAAAGAGAAAGAGAGAGAGAAAGAGAGAGAAAGAGAGAAAGATGAGGTTTCTCTGCCTCCATGGCTTGGGGTGTAATGCCGATGTTTGTCTGTCCCTTCTTACTGTCCCTTCTTACTGTCTTTTCTTACTGTCTTGAATTTTTATATCATCCCCCTCGTTGCTCATCTTACTCTGTCTATCTTACTCTGTCCATCTACTCTGTCCATCTCACTCTGTCCATCTACTCCATCTCACTCTGTCCATCTACTCTGTCCATCTACTCTGTCCATCTACTCTGTCCATCTACTCTGTCCATCTACTCTGTCCATCTACTCTGTCCATCTACTCTGTCCATCTCACTCACTTTTCCTCCTTTCTTTACTCGTTAGACTCTTCTTTTGATATCTCCCCCATCTCCCTTCCATCCCCTTTTACCCCGTCTTCTACTGTCCCATCTCATCCGAAAGACAAACTGACACCCCTCAGATCTTCGAGGCCCAAACTGGTAGCCTCACCCTTTCACTCCCCAAAGGCGCACCTACTAATACACCCCCTCCAGCCCAGATCCGCGAACAACTAGGCGACAGCCACACCTTCGATTTCCCAGAGGGCGAATACGATATCCCCGCTCCCAAAGGTGAGAAAAGAACACCTTCCTACCTCGACTTTCTCCCCCTTACTTCCCCTGCCGTTCCTTCCTTCCTTCCGTTACATCCGGCCGTTCGCTCCTTCCTTCCTGCATTGCTACCCAGTAGTCCCCGTGATTTGGGTCAGGGTCGGTCCTTCCTTGCATATGCTGCATCACGCATAGGGTCGCTCTTTCCTTCGACAGAGAGATCCATTGTGTTGGACCTTCCTTCTTAGTGTACTTTTGGGCGATCGTTCTTTCCTTGCATATGCTGCATCACGCATGGGGTCGCTCTTTCCTTCCGAAAGAGAGATCCATTGTGTTGGACCTTCCTTCTAAGTGTACTTTTGGGCGATCGTTCTTTCCTTTGCATACTTTCAAGCGCTCCTTCCCCCTATCACTCCTTCCTCCCATACCCCTCCTCCCCCCTTCACAAACACAAATCTAACCCCCCTCCCAGAAATAACAGCAATCTACCCACCCCCCTACCTCTCCTGGCACCCCCCGCACACCCTCGACACCCACATCGCCCAAGGCCTCCTCGACATCCGCACCTACATCGCCGACAACGGTCCCTATGACGCGTGCCTCGGTTTCTCTCAGGGTGCTGTGATGCTCGCTTTGTTACTACTCGAAGATTCCGCCGCCTCTCTCAAATCCGCCAACTCCAACGGCTCTTCCACCAACGGCTCCTCCAACGCCTCCTCAACCCCCCACAGCCTGCCCTTCCAACTAGCAATCTTCCTCTCCGGCTCCCTCTACCCCTTCGCCATTCCCCTCCTCTCACTTGGCGCACAGATCAACATCCCCACAACCCACGTCTGGGGCGGGAAACGCGATTACGTGACTACCAATGGCGCGGGGGAGGCGCTGAGGGATGCGTGTGCGGCGGAGGGGAGGGTGGTGGTGGAGCATGGGGAGGGACATGTTGTGCCGAGGGGGGGAGGGGGTGTGAGGGCTGTGGTGGGGGGGTGGAGAAGGGGGTTAGGAGGGCGATATATAAGAGTTAGATATGGGGGGGAAGGGGATTAAGGGGGGGTTATGTGGTGGAGAAGGGGGTTAGGAGGGCGATATATAAGAGTTAGATATGGGGGGGAAAGGGGATTAGGGGGGGGGTTATGTGGCCGAGGGTGAGGGAAAGGGGGTGTATATACGACGGATATCACGATTGAGATGGATTTCTCTTGGATATGATGAATATACGGCCAGCAGCTTCACTGATGGTAGAAAAGGGGTGTATAGAGATGTATCACGACTGGGACAGATTTACTTGTTGGATACAGATGCAGCGACTACATAGCAGAAGAGATTTGGTTAGATCACAGCGAGTATCAAGTGCGCTTCACTCACTCCTCTAAGGACTTACAAGATGGGAGAGGAGAGGGTTACGTCCTTACCTCTGCAAACCACCACAACCACCAACCCCACGACAGGACTCCTTTCACGGCTATCATCGACTTTGAAGAGCATATATCCCATCTCCCTAACCCACACCCTTCCTCCACACCACCGACCAGACTACCTCAACCCTCAAAGATTACCCCCGCCTGGAGGAAGGGTGTGGGTTAGGTAGATGGGATATATGCTCCCCTATCAAACCCGTTCTCTATCAAACCCCCTCACCACCTCCAACCGCGGCACGTCACACACACATACACCCCCCCCCTCCTCCCATACCACACCACACGCGCAACAAGGTAGTACCATCCTCCATCCATTCCCTCCGTCTTGGCACCACACTCGGCTTCCCCGTCTATATATTACCCCCACACCACGCAGAGACGACGGCGGTACCAGCCGTCATCACCACAGGTAGACTACAGTAAGTTACAGTAAGCACCCCCCCACCCGCGGACCAGCAGCTGGCACGGTAACGCAAGGAGTGTGTGGGATGAGAGACAGCATGGGAGTTACTGTACAGTACGTTACAGGCGCTGTCGCACGGCGGTCCCGACGGCCGACTCGCGTGGTAAGATGGGGGGATGACGGGAAGACATGTCGTCCCGGATGAGACATGCAGTGTACCGCGGGGAAGACGGGGGAAAGTTGCCGCGGCGGATGGGTTCGGGCGAGGTGATGTGTCGGATTTTGAGCCTGGATGATATCATATACGTAGGATATGATACAGTACATACGATATGGTGGATAGTTATGGAGTGCGTGTGTCGCGGCCGTATTTCGGGGACATAGCTATCTCCTTGCTGCGCTACCCCTCTTCCGTTGCAACGACATTGGTTTCGGCCCAACTTCGCATCTTCTCTCTCATCTGAGTCTATCCCGCCGCAGTCCGCCCATACCACGTACTGAACAACATGACACTTACAAACCTGATACAGACACACGGTGCAAATGGGACACGGCATCGATGCAACACGCCCCTTCCCCCCGACCCCCGGCGCCGAGAACCAGCCACCACACCCGACAGCCCGGTCTCATCTCGGAGGGATGATCCGGAGAGGGAAGGAGTTGCGGTGGCGGTGTTGGGACCTCGGGTGTGTTCTAGGAGGCGGGTGGAGGGATGGATTGGGATGCCGATATGAGGTCCAACATGAGGGTGGGGATATGAGATGAGGTCCAACAGGTGGATGGATCTCCACTGTGGGGCGGGGAGGGATGAGGCATCGGCGGCGGGAGGAAGGGAATAGATGGGATGGGGATGGGGATGTATGGGGATGGGATATCGGAGGTGTAGTAGTAGAGTAATTTAGCAACTGTTACTGTCACACTTTTAGCGTGTAACAGTAACATATTTGGTAAGGCGTACCTAATGCTAAGGTGCCCACTCCGGCCCTATGTGCCCAAATAGGAAAGGGGACTGTCACAGTGTGACAGTATTATCCCCCCTCAATGATTGTAACGACCCGCTATTTTGAAGTTTGTGGAAACCCACTTATAGCGATCGGTTTAGGTAAAAAGGCGTAAATAAGATGAGATCACTAGCAGAGGCCTTTTGACAAAATAGTGGATGGTGACAATCATTCAGGGGGGGATAGTAGAATGATGGGCAAAAGCGCTCGGCGCGTTGCCTCCCTCCCTCGCGTTGCCTCCCTCGCCGTTGCTCCCCCTCGCCGTCGCCCTCCTCGCTGTCCCAGCTGACTCGCTAGCCGCTGCCCTCACTGAGGCACTCGACGACTCTTCGGAAGCCATCGTCGCGAGGCATCGGAAGTCCTGAGCTCGGCTCAGGCCCACGAGGATGGCTTCTCTTGGCGAGCTGACCGTTCCTATGAACGGTCAGCTCTACCTCGACCTAGACGCCTGGTCGAGAGCCCTTGACGACTGGGCCGAATGAGGCCGTCGAAAGGAGCGACAGCGAGGGGGCGACGGCGAGGGGGGCTAGGGGGGGGGATGGGGGGGTTTTTACTGGTCGCAGGGGGTTTCATATTATGTAGGGTATATAAAACTTATCACGTCAAATTCAGGGTATATAAAACTTTTGCCCTAGAATGATTCAGCAGGTGTTAGACGTGTTAGACACCTCATTCGACAGTCCTGTATGTAGTTAGTGTAGAAACTTTGACTAGGAACCCTGTATAAACCCCGTATAAACCCTGTACAAACCCTGCTTGCAGCAAACTACACTATTTCCTAAATAGGAAGTAAGACTGTCAGTGTCAGACAGTTATCTATTCAAGGCTAACAGCCAGCTAGATTCCTATTGTAGTTAGAATATAAGTTAGTAATTAATTTGGATAGACGTCATGTAATTGTAAGCCGAATACAGTATCGCTCTATATAAGTGATAATGGCCTCGATGTCATACTGACATTCGTTGCACTCAGTTTGCTATCAAACTCAAGAGCAAACTTAGAAATCTCCTCCTCAAACCTACAAGTCACCATACATATCTTGGCTTATCACACCAACAACAGAAGCAATACTACTCAACCATTGCTGCAAACTCTTCTACTACATCTGTTTATGCTACATACATCATGGCATATCATTTGGACACTCATTGAACAAGTTATTAAGAAAATCTCCTCCTTAAGGGGGTGGGCCAATACTACCACATGGCATATCTCTACCAACTAGAGGCCTAGGAACATGAACGATAGCTCTAGAAGCTTCTACAACCCTCTATGATTCATTACACGTCATCGCTCCTTAGTTACCCACAAGATTGGTTAAGTTATGACATAATTTGTCTATAGGTACTCTGACCTTGGACCTCCTTTTCACTTCCTATAGGCTAGGAACCCAAGAGATGGTTCTATGGGATTCTCTTACGTTCACTACATGATTAGCAAGCTAGTTGTGGGTCGCACTTGATTTCTAATACATTTACCAAGCCTGGTTAGTCATGGAAAGTCATGGAAAATGAGAGAACTACACTCCTTTGGCATAAATAGGATTGCCCTTTCCTTAAGAAAGGGCAAGCAGGCAATACAGTAAATCGACTAGCACATACTTCTACGTCTTTTCCAAGCTTCCAAGCATTGATCTTAGTCAGTGAGGTGCTAACCTCTGACTTACCCCTGAGTTCTCAGACTCAACATTTGTTGCAACTTGTCTAAACCACTTCACCACATCATACACCTGATTGCTGCGTTGTGGAATAGTCTAAGCTACAACCCTTTGGCTCTGTTTCCTAAGACAGTGTGTTGTCTTAGTAAATTCATCCCTTCCTTGGGTGGCTAGATTCTCATATCTGGTGCACCCACCATTACACTCGAAGCTGCTCGAATTCCTAGCTTATGAGCCCTAATCCTTACCCTAGAGACGTCGCTAATACTCTACCTTCAAAGAAGATGGCAGAGCAAGCCCTGCTCTGCCTATCCAGCCTATGATTAAGGGGCAAATCGAAGCCGAAACACCAGAAGTATCGCAGCTCTCAACCTAGCAGTGTATAGAAAGCTGCGATCCTCAAGGCTCTCTGACTAAGATGGCCCCTTTGACGAAGGCTGAAGTGCTAGTCCTATTCCAGCTTGCAAATCGAAATGCTGAAGCGTATCGACAGTCTTGGGACTGGTTAGACAGACAGTGAGAGCGAATTGACTGTCTAGATTAATAACTAGATTGACGTTGTTGGTAAGGAGGAGCCACTTAATAAGGAGCAAAGTGAGGCAGCAAATACTGTTCTTACTTCGTCACAGCAGGCGTAGGATATCCAGGACTCACTCTCTGTAGTCCTTGTAGCAAAGAGGAAATACCAGAGGAATCCTCTAAAAAGTTGTGATAAGTCTATTGGCCAAAGAGCATGGGAGCTCTTAGGCTTTGACATGATGACGACGAAGAGCTACAAAGTGATAACTGTAGCGAGGACATCAGCTCTATCAACTCGCCTCCTTTTGAAACCCTAACACTAGTATATCAAAGCACTTCTTATGCTCGTGGTCAGTTAGTTAGTTAAGGAAGAAGCTGTAAGAAGCGCCTGAAAATATCTTTCCCTTCCTATAATCAAATGATCCTAGACGAGCATTTGAATATACAGGGTGAAGATGGACGTCGACTAGTATTGAGTCATTAGTTGAGCTTTTAAAAGCCTGATATACTCAAGGTAATATGGACCAGTAGGATAGACAGCAGGAAAGTGAGAACGGAGGACTTAATACGAGTAGTATTGAGTTGCAATTTCAGCAAGTTGATTACCTGATCCGCGAGCTTTAGGAAGGCCAGGAAGAAATAAAAAAAGGCCAGTTAATGATGATATCGTTACTTGAGCAAGCGCTTCATGGGCCTATTGGTCGAAGCGTCCTAGTTGAGAGCTCACAGCATAATGGGATCAATGAAGTAGGGGGTTGGATAGAGTCAAGTAATTAGTATATATCGTAGCTAGCTATTATAACAAAGATACTCCTCTACTGTTGGTGGTGATATGTAACACTGACTTCTAAATGATAGAAGACACAGAGGTTTCTTGCGTAAGGTTGACTTGACAGAGAAGGCAGGGGATTAGACACAAAGGCTTTTCAAGTAACACGTTACAGTATTGTAAAGAATACTATATTGAGTTGAGCACGAAGCTCCTATCTAAGGAAATACTATCTACTTATATGGTGGCGTCGTGCCAAAGGGATATCCATGGATAACAT